GATGATACCATGCTCAAAAATTTTAATTTACTTTTAGAGTTAACAGCTGCCCAAAGAGCAGCAGCTATGAGGGCAGCTGGGACATGACAGATTTCTTGCAGTAGAAGCAGTGTGAATTCAGTTTCTGGTTTCATCTTCTTTGGTATGCTGACCTCTAGGGAAACTTTTCTGCAAAACGGTTTGCCAGAGCATTTGTGTAGGGTGCTATTGTGGCTTCAATCAAGTCACAGACCTTTTTCTAGGGACCAGGCATTTGGTGTCAAATCCAAAGTAGGCTCTCACATGAAGCTGCTCCCTAAGGTGGTTCAGCATGCTTGTGTGAGTAAAGGTCTTGGTACACTTAAGTAGGGCTCAGTCAGCAGAGGAAATGCATACTGAGTTAAGAAACAAGGTGATTGTTCTGAATCTTTGTGAACTTGGTAGTTAAAAATCTGGAAAGTCCTCTGTGCTCTGAGTTTTTGCAGGACTGCATACACCTTTCCATCCATGGCTAAAACTGCTTCAGCAATGGATCAAATTGCTAAACAATTCAACGACTTAAATTCTAGCCTGATGGCTTTGGGAAGCATAAATAGATTGCTTCCCCAAATGAATTGGAGTGAGTGGCAACTGTCTCTCATCAACAGGCAATTAACCTGTTTCAAAAGAGACTGGGCTTAAAAGCCAAAAAGCTTTGATTGACTGTTTGTAACTGCCTGCATGAGCTCTGTCTCTTAGGGCAAATAGTCCTTCCTTCTAGGTATTTATTTCCTTTCATAGAATCACAGGATGGCCTGGCTTGGAAGGAAGCTTAAAGATCACGTAGCTCCAGCCTGCCCACCATAGGCAGGGACACCTTTCCTAGCCTCTAACTAAATTCATACAGCACTGTGATTTCCTGTCTGTGTTACACTAGACAAGTCATGCTCTGCCAGTCTACTCTGAAACAGAGATTTCTGTTCACTGATGATCTTTATATCTTTTTCTGCTCCTGTTGTGAGTTCATTTTTCTCTGAATAAGAATGATTACAACAGACAGAGACTCAATGGTCTAACAGTGACTTAAAGACAGCATTAATCTTTCTCAGCTCTTTAAGTGTATGGGTTGTATTTGACATTTCACTGGTAAGTCCACTTGTGTCCTGACCAGCCAATACACAAGTCTTTATCCTTCTCTGGTCTTTTTCCAACAGCTGAATTCCCAGATCATTGCAACATTCTTCTTGTTGAGAAGAACAAACATGGATATAGTTATTTAGTCAGTTTTTCCACAGGGCCTTGGGAAACATGAATTATTGTACTCTAGTCAATAAACAATCTTAGGACAAGATTCAAATACAGTTGCAGCAAAGAAATAGCAGAGGTAGTATCAAAAACTACAGCAGACTACACAAGACAGTATATGTAGACATCAGACTGTTTTTCTAAAATGGTTAGAAGACATGTGAAAGCATACAGTCTTCTAAGACTTCCATATTTATCAAAAAAACCAACCAAACAACAGCAAAAGAAAAAAACAAGCTAGAAATTTGAATTCCTCTGTGGCTTGGGAGAAATTGCTCTTGCAGGATAAAAAAATTTGCAGGTTGATGCTGGAAGATTGAAAACAAAACTTCAAAGAACTCTAGGTACCTGTTACTGCTTGGGAGAAGGAGGAAACCAGACACCTTCCCCCCTCAAAAAAAAAACAAACCAAAACCAAACCAAACCAACCAACCAAACAAACAACAACAAAGAAAAAAAAACACAAACAAAAAACCACACCAAAACCCCCCCTGAGTCAGCCAAAACCATCCTTAAGGAGAAATGCCTACCAAGTCAACAAACAAGCCCCGAGGAATTCTGCTGAAAATGATCTTCAAACTACTGAAGACTTTACCTATCTCTTTTTATTTTGATGGGTTGACAGTTTGTTCTGCATAAGAAGAATATTGCTAAGGTCTTATTACACATGGTGGCACAGACAGAACACAGAAACATTTTTAAAAAAGAAGGAAGTACAACAAAAGTCTTAACAAAAAAAGAAGTGGTACCATTGTCTGTGACATGTAGCACAGCCTCCTCCTTACCTGGGACCAGCTCAGCATCTATTTGTACCAATTGTGTTACACTAAGGATGGTGAACAGGTGGGAACAGAACAGAACAGTGAGAACAGACTTAATGTGCTTAATGTGCAGATACAGCAAAATATTTGAATGAAAAATAGAATATGAGTTGAGGGTTTTTTTTTCCTTAAATAAAATTAAATTACCTAAATGCTAGTCTAAGTTTCCTCCATGGGATGGTTGGTAGGGAAGTGCTTTTCCAAAGACTCAGTTTCTAGAACTGGCATGAAAATACTTTTGGAGATGATAGTATTTTGGCTGCAACTTTCCAGGTGTGTTTTTCTGTAGTGTTTAGCAATGTTTTCACCTGCTAACCATATAGTAATACCTTGCAAGATATGAGATCCCTGCAACCAATATTCCTATGGCACAGGGTTTCAGTTTGTGTGGAACAACCATCTTTAGAGAGTACTGGTTCTCACACCCTTGCAGGTGCCACTGCCAAAACCTAATCTGGAGCTCCTCTCCCTACTATTTGCTCTTCCACACTAAGCCTTGTGGAAATAAGCTGTAATGCATCTTGAATTTTCTGGCTCTTTGTGAATCCAACAATTGACACTATGCCATCAATGTCTTCAATGCTTCTGAAAGATTTTATTCTCTGTAAGGAATCTGTTCCAGGTTTGCTTTATTATGTCAGGAATATATGGATAGGTTTCCACTGTCAATTCCTATGCTGCCATCACCTGTCAGCTGACATGATTGCTGTTGGCACATCCCCCTACAACCTGGTGTAGCTCATTTCCAGGCAGAGCAAACTTGCTGTCATTTGCAGCTTAGCTTCTAGTTAAGCTACTCTGACAAGTCATGAGGCTTGCTCCAGATGCAGAAACAACAGCACTCTACTGCTAATGACACAGCTCTTTCAAATAACATATCCCTCATCCAGAAATGCCAGGTAATGCTTGGGAATAAATTAGAAATTGCTTCCTGTGTTGCTTTGTCCAGATCTGCCCTGGGTAATTATCCTCAGTCTCTACAGCTGCTCTGTGATGTAGGGTGTTTGGCTTTCTGGGTTTTGTTTTTGTTTTTTCCCAAAGTGCCAGAGGCCTGACGGCACATTGGCTTTGCTGAGTGTGCTGCAGCAGCCCTGGAGAACCTTCTCATGGTTGCTGAATATTCACATACAAGGCAAGCAGAAAAGGACGTCAGGAAAGCTGAGAGCAGCCTCCAGACCACTAGGGAAAGATAAGTTATTCCCCAACAGCACAGTACTTCCATAGGGCACAGCATGCTGATAAAACACCCCAATTTCACAAAGTGTGAATGCAGTCAGTGCCTAGGTTAGAGTAACCCTTCTTGGACAGGGACCTTCTCTCTTGAAATGGCAGGTGGGCCAGCACATCAGGCTTTTTCCTTCACATTCCTATGGCACATCGTTAGAAAATAGAAAACAAACAACTTGGTTGTTCTCCAAGTAATTCATACCTTAAGAGGAAGCCTGAAGGAAAGTACAGGTGCCTCTGTGTATGTGTGTGTACAACTAGAGAAATATGCCATGAATGCTTTGATGACGTTTGGAAGAAATGTGAGTTGGAACAGAGAGGTAAAGGGTGAATTACTAAACACACTTGTGAAAGAAGATTTGCTGGGTAGCAGATGACACCCGGGACTTGGACAGGCAAAATATTTTTGCTTGGGTTTAGAAAAGGGGAAGAAAGAGTGATTTTAAGGAGCTGAAATACAACAGTGAAAAACAGGTGGGTTCCTTTGTTTTGGTCTTTTTTTGTGTGTTTTACAAACAAATGTAACCAGTACGTATATAAGCTAGCTAACAGCAATCAGATAGCAAGGTGGCCAGAAAGGAAAGACAATATATTCTGTTTTTAAAGTGCTCACAACGTTCAAGATGGTATAGCAGATGTGCCTAATAGAGGAGAGTCAGCCTGAGAAGCCAAATTGAGGCACTCAGCAGTTGCAGCTCCAGTCATGAAATTCAATAAAACCATGAAAAGGCAACTGGACAGAGTAGGCAGGAAAAAGGAAAAAAAAAATCTGAGTCTTTCATTAGCGCATGAAATCAGAAAGCTTGGAGGGAAACTTAAAATAGCCTAAGTTTCCTTAGTTGTACTTAGTTTCAGTAGTGCAGAACAGCAAAAAAAAAAAAAAAAAAGAAAAAAGAAAAAAAAAAGTACTTTCATGAAGCAGAGAAGTGGCTTCACTGTTTCAGAGTAGCGCAAGTGTTTTATCTGAAGAGGTTTTCTCTCACGCCCCCAGTCGATAACCAAGGTCTACGTACAATAAAAGCAGGGAAAACCGTATGGGGACCGGACCGGCGATTTTCGTACACCACCTCCCAGAGCCTGAGGCGGCGCCCGCACTGCTTCAGCTCACAGGAAGGGCGAGGTGGGCAGCTGCTACGGGGGGTCATCTGGTCCATCCTCCTCCACCAAGTGGGGTCATCCTAGAGCACACTACAAAGGAATGCGTCCAGACGGCTTTGGAGCACCTCCAGTGAGGGACACTCCACACCCTCTCTGGGCAGCCTATTTTGGTGCTCGGTCACCCACACAGTAAAAAACTTCTTCCTCGTATTCAGGTGGAACTTCCTATGCATCAGTTTCTGCCCGTTGCCTCCAGAGAGCACAGGGAGAGAGACAAGGCGGGTGCCCGGCGGGCCAAGAACCTCGAGGTCGGGCCTCGCTCACGCTCCCCGCACCGCGCCGGGCGCCATCTTTGGTCCCCTGACGCGGAACAGCCACTGCCTGCGGGACCCGCGGCGCAGTTACTGCGAGAGGGGCAGTTACCGCGAGAGGCACGGGGACGAAGGGAAGGGCCGATGAAGTCTCGCGAGAGCGGGGCGACTCTCGGGCATGCGGGCGAAGGCGGCAGCGCCGCGCCCGATTGGCGGGGCGCGTTCCCCCTCCCCCGCCCGCTTTCGGCGTTGCGCATGCGCCGCGCGCCGCCGGGCCGTGTCCGTGTCCCCCCCCGGTGCGTGTGTCACCCGCGCGCGGCGGCGCTGAGGCCGCGAGAGCGCTCCTGGGCACCGGCGGCGCGGGAGCGGCCCCGATACGTGCGGACCCGCCGGGCAGGAGAACCGGGATTGGAGCCGCGGAGGGCCCCGGATACTTCGCCCGGAGGCGGCCCGGCCTGGCCTGACCCAGCCTCCCTGCCAGGAGCGGCTGAGGGAAGAAGTGGAGGAGGCCCGCGCCCCATGCCCGTGTCCCTGCGCGGCGGCGCCCGCGGCCCAGAATGAAGTGAGGAGGAGCCGCCGCCGCTAGGAGACACTTCCGTTTTGCGGGAGAGGCCGCGCCGGCCTGTGGGACGCTGCCGGTGCCGCTCCGCCGCCGCCGCATCGGGCAGCGCCCCCAGCCCCGGCCTCAGCCCGACCCCGTATGTATTGGTGCGGCCCCATGTGAGGCGGGCGGTGCGGGAGCGAGCGAGGCCCCGGCGCGGCCCGCGGGTGTCCGTCCCGGTAGGTGTGCGCGGCGCCGCCGGGTCCCCATGGCGCCCTGAGCGCGACGGTGGCGGCGGGTTCCCTGGGCCGCGCCCTCGGCCGTGAGCGAGCTCGATGCCGAGCACCTCGGACGCGGCGGCCGGCGGGAGCGGGGGCAGCCGGGGCTGGGGCAGCGGCGGTGGCGGCAGCACGGCGGTGGAGGCGGCGGCCGACAAGAAGCGGCTGCACCACCGGAGACGGAAGCGCTTCGCGGCCCAGCCGCAGCCGCCGCCGCCGGCCCCGCACCCGCTGCTGTTCCCGTTGCTGCAGCCGCCGCTTCTGCAGCCCCCGCTGCTGCAGCCGCCGCTGCCGCCACAGTCCCTGCTCTTCCTGGCGGCCACCGGCGCCTCCTCCTGTTGCGGGGACGGCGGGGAGCGGAAGCGGCCGCGAGGCAAGCGGCGCTCGGGCTCCCGGCACAAGCGGCGGCGGGGCCGCGGCGGCGGCGGCGGGGGCACCCAGGAAGCGGAGAAGCGGCGCGGTAGCGGCGGGTTGAGCACGCTGGTGGAGGAATACGACGACGTGAGCTCCCAGTCCGAGGGACTGTTGGGCAGCGGCGCGGCCGGCGGGGGCAGCGGCGGGGGCAGCCCGGGCTCCTCCTCGGGCGGTGGGACCCAGCGGCAGCGGGGCGAGGCGGAGCGAAGCGGCCGGTCCCGTCGGGAGCACCGCGGCAGCAGCGGGCGCTCCAAGGAGCGGCACCGAGAGCATCGCCGGCGAGGAGAGGAAAAGACGCAGCAGGAGGGGACGGCGGCACCGGGCCGCGGGGCATCCGAGCCCTCTTCGTCCTCCAAATCCCGCAGCCGCCACAACCACACTGGGAGCCAAGACCGGGAGGGACTCAAGAGCAGCAGCGGCGGTGGCAGCGACAGCCGCAGAAAGGGCTCCCTCCCCTCGCCCAGCAGCAGCAGGAAAGACCGGGAGAGCAAATCGCACCGGAGCCGGACTAAAGCGGCTAAAGAGCCACCGTCGGCGTACAAGGACCCTCCGAAAGCTTACCGGGACGACAAGCTCGAGCCCAAGGCGTACCGGCGGCAGCGCTCGTCGCCCAGCCCCGGCCGGGATGACAGCCCTCCTCTGCACCGCTCCTCGCAGAGCCAGCGCAGCCGCAAGTCGCTCAGCCCGGTGGGCGCCCGCTCGCCACTCAGCCCCTACAGCCGACGCCGATCCCCCAGCTACAGCCGGCACAGCTCGTACGAGCGCGGCGGGGATGTGTCGCCCAGCCCCTACAGCAGCTGGCGCCGGTCGCGAAGCCCCTACAGCCCCGTTATCCGGTAAGTCCGGGCCCGGGGGCGAAGGCGGGATGGGTTGGGGGCCCGCTGTGTGGAGGAGGGGAGTAATGACTGGGGCAGGAATGCAGGAGAGGCCAGAGAGGTTTGCATCCAGCAGCAATCCCTCTCTCTTGTCCTTTTGCTGCCAGAAAGCTGGGGTGAGGGGCAGGGGAGAGGGAGAAGTACAAAGATCTTCCCGTCCTGTCTCTCGGGGAGAAAGGGAGACGCGAGTGCCTGTTACACTTCATGGCTGGTTTCTCTTCGTGGGAGACCACCTGGCTGGAAAAAGGCTTTTACATGTTAAAAGATATGAGAACATTTTCAAATGAGAGTGACTGAAAGAAGATGGTCCTTTGAGGACAGGTTTTCTAAAAGACCAATTTTGATTTTTAAATCTTTGCTTACAAAGTACAGACGTTCTGGTACATTTTTATGTGTTCTGTTCTTGGGTAAAATAGGATGCATATTGAATATATCTGGGTTTGGTTTAATTTCTGCTAATCTAAAGAGAAAACCAGCTGACAGGCAACTTGTGTTTACAAGTGTTTTCTTGCTCTTTTTAGAGGTCTATAGAAGGATTTGGGGTGTCTGTTTTGCTAGAAAATTGAGTCAGTCTCACGTTTTGATAAATTGTCTTGAACTTTGCATAAGCTATGAAAAATATAAGCTCTTTACCTGGTAAGGTTATGCATGTGTATATAATTAATGCATGCTTGCAGAGAATTTTTCTTCAGTTTTAGTGGGAACTCAGGGTGTAAAGATCAGCATTGCATGAGATCTTGAATTTTATGTGGAGAGGAAGTGTGGGCTGTATTTTCTCATCAGATGCAAACCATGTTGTGGAATTAAAGCTCTTCAGAATATTTTAACCTGCAGAAAAGTGCACTGGAACTTTAAAAGTATTTGCTTAGTATGTGTTTATAACTGAAGATTTTTATTTCCTGTATTGGAATCTTACTATTGCCTTGTTGTTTGTAGAGCTGCTTAAATTCATGTCTGGATTTCAGTTTTAAAGGTATCCAGCAATGTGTTGTTCCACTGGCAAGAATTTTGTTTACAAGGCATTACCTGGTGGTTTGTCTGAGAACTGTTCTCTGGTGTTTTTGATAAGCACTTTGTGTGGATCACCATTTAGGGTGTCCTGTGGGGTATCCAGGGAACATGATAAAGCTGTTCCGTGTTTCATTGAGCTCTTGGTAGAGTCTGCTGTCCTGGGTGTGCATTAAATGCTGTTTAAAGAGCAAAGTAACAAAGCTGTGTCCTACTTTGTTCAGAGAGATAGAGCCAAAGCACTGTGGGGTAAGAATAGTGATTGTCTAAAGGTGTGGTTGTATGGAATAATTTTGTAAGCAGTAGGGTGTTCCAAGAAGAAAACACTGTAATTGCTCTGAAAACATCATGCTGTTCTTCTGTGAGATTCTGTTACAATTGGTTAAAATACACTTTCAAAATTATTTGCCTAATAGCACAACAGCAATATTATGTGCATGCCCTAGGAATCAGATTATTTTCTGTAGTTGCTTATATCCTGGAATAAGAAAGCTAATAATGATGCACAGAATTATGCATTTGAGGTTTGCATTTAGGACTAACCAGATTGACAGCCCAGTTAAGTTCAGGGTTCTGTATGCACTGACTAATTGGGCTGTAGTAGAGTTTTGTAGGAGTGTTCTTTTTCTGTTGGTAGTGAGCCTGTGATTTGAAGCACAAAAGTTTGAATCTCCTGATTTTGGTATTCACTCTGCAGTGAGGAAGGCTTTCTTGAGCCTGCAGATCTGTTTCTAGAAGTTAGCTTTGTGACTTCTCGCCTTTCTTCCTCCCTCCAGTTGAATTGTAATTTGCGTTCAGTTTGTAACTGCTTACAGACAAATGCAGACTGTCAGGTGTTCAGGAGAGGAATTGGAATGGCTGAGTGAAAAGGAGAGGTTTCTATATGTAGAAAGGACTGTCCTAATGGGGCATTCATTGCAAAAATGTCTCAGAAAACAAAGAGACCTTAAAGTGTGACGATAAATTGTTAATAATGTTTACCTGTTGTGGAGAAATGAAAGCCAGTGGTTTTTCCTTCCACACAGCTATCGATCATAATATTGCAATGGCAGTGGGGGAATAGAAAGGTAGAGGTTTATACTTTTTTTTTTAACCATTCAAAACTATGTCATAATCACATTTTGCTTGACTGTGTAGTACTACAGCCAAAATGCTGAACATTTTGCTGTCCTGTTTGATAATGAGACAGTGGCTTTAGACTTGAGAGAGTATTACAGTTTCATGAAGGCAATGCCTTCTTACAGCACCTGTGTCCTTCATGTGGATGACTTAAAGGCTTAATTCTGGGCTTGTATCCAGCTGTAATGATGTCCAGATAGCAGGGACTTTTTATGTGACTATTTCAGCCTGCAAGTCTTTTTGCTCTTTTTGTTTTATGTCTCATCTATGTGTCTTCTCTAATGTTATGTAAATTACCCTGTTATTTTGGTTTGTAGAAAATTATTACAAAGCAGTTCTAGCATGCTTGGAAAGCCTGTGTGTTTAATGGTGATTTTTTAAATCTAGGTGTCTGAGCTGCTTAGGGAGAAACTTCTAGTAAACAGCTGAAGGGAAACGAGTGAAGTCAACTTTGCTAGTTTGAAGCAGCAAAGTTGTTGTGAGGTTTGAATTGCAGTACTGACTTAGCTGGTTTTAGGTGATGTTGTTTGGCTGTGGGTTCTAAGGAGAAGCAAAGACACTGGATATGTGTTCCATACTTGGTGATTACTCTTTAAATGATAGACTAATTACTTTTTCCATTGTAATAGCTGGGAAAGTTTGTGTTTTGGATAAACTGATTGAGCTGTATTCACTTGTTGGACAAAATTTCTTTACTTGCTGCTGGTGGATTTGTATTACTCTTATTTTCTTGTGGATGGGGTAACACAACAGTTCTAAAGTAGCATGTGCATATTTTCAAAATGGAATTTTTTCCAAAAGTATGAGGTATTTATTTCTCTACTGGTAAAATGACTGGATTAAATGAAAAATTTTCAACCAAACCCCATGGTTGACAAAAGAAGCAGACACAGTCTCTTGCTTCGTACAATTTCATGCTAAACTAGTTTCCAGAGAACTTTTTTGTAACTTGAGTCTGGTCATATGTTATGTGATCACACATTTAAATCAGTTAGCAGTATAGATGAGTAATTGCATTTTTCCAAATTTGGATACACCTACCCATCTGCTTAGATAAAAGTAAGTGGGTGGGGCACTACTAGATAGTGCTACTATGTGCATAGATGTTGCTTATAGAAAAGATACAAGATTTATTTTTATTTTGGTACTGGAGTAATCTCAGTCTGTATTGGTTACCTAGTCTGTAGTAGTGAGGCTCTGCAGAATATGGGTCATTTATGTGCAAAATCACAAGTGTAGGGAAAACAGTAAAATACATATTCAGCTAGTAAATGGAGAAGCTGCAGTGCCATACAATGATAGGAAAATGACTTCAGTTCCAGTAATTCTACTACTTTTGAATTTAAAGGATTAAGAGAGTTTGACCCCCCCCTTGATTAGTAAAGATATATTAAAAAAAAAAAAGAGTTAAAGCTCTCTAATTTTGGTTAGTAAAACTGTATTTTGCAGAATTTAAAATGGACCACTCTAGGTTTTCACTGTTTTGAGTAGCTATTTTTTCCAGTGTGCATTGCTGCCTTTGCCTTTTGCTCATGTGCCTTTCCTTTTTCCTTGTTGCTGGTGCTTCTTTCCTTAATTGAAAAAAAAATTTAATTTGAAAAATTTAACTTCAAATGTGCTTGAACACAGATTTTGAGTTGACTTGACCTTTTGCTGGTTGATTTCTTTGTAGACCAAGTTCTCATGTGATAATAGAGGGGTTTAAAGCAGGCTCAAGAAACAAATAAAAGCCTAGCTCAGAGTTTTCCAGTATATATTAGAGACCCTTTTAAAGACTTACTTTTAGTTTGAATCAGTAAGGCAGGTTATGTAGTCTTCATGTACAAAGCAGCTGAGTAGGAGGTTGGTTGCAGAGCTGCATATAATGTAACCTTGAACTAGGGGCTAGAGAAAATAAAATTAATGAATAAGGTATCAAGTGAAAGAATACTATTACTGTAATGGCTTAAAGAAATGAACTATATGTTTGCCTGCTAGACCAACATGGAAAAGCTATAGTATGAGCTAAAGTGTTTTGTCAAGGTGGTTTATGTTACCAAGGGGTTGTAAATGTCTTGGAAGGTCTGTTGTGAAGCCAGTTGATTAAATTTAGGTCTCTCTTCTCAAATACACATGCTGTGCAGGAAAGGATGGCAGTGCTTAGTCAGTAGTCCAGCATTACCTGTGGGTTAAAGAAAGACCTGGGCTACAGTGGTTGTTTTAACCTCCTTTGGACTGTTAGGTTTCTTCGTTTTGCCTTTATATTCTCATAAATCCCTTTGTGTTATGCATTGTTAAAAGTTACTGACAAAGTTAGTTCCCTTGTTCAGCTCACAGACCCTTACAAAATTGTTTGCACTTAGGTAACATGTAGCTGGCCACCAGCATGATGGATTAAGCTTGCTCTTAAAGCAGTTAAGAAGAAAAGAGGTTTTCAAGTTTAGAACATGAGAAGATAAGACATGATTGTACTGATTTGTCAATAAAATGTAACTTTTTCTTGTATTGAGGGGGTACTGAAAGGGACGGAAAGAAACACCAAAAAATGTAGCATGGCAAGAAAAACCATGTAAGCTGAATGAATGAAATGTATTCCTGGAAATCTGACGTAGGTAACAGTTTTCTTTCCTCTCGGGTTTTAAATACCAAGACAGTAAAAGATAGTACTCTAAGCTACTATTTGGAATTCTTTCATTTTCTGCTTGAGAATGTAAGTGGTATTATATCAGTAGACTTTTTTTCTTTGTTAAATTAATCAGTAAATTTATTAGTGATCCAGTGAAGTGCAATAAAATGTTGCCTGTCAGGAAGGAAAAACATTGTAACAGTTTTGAAACCTGTAATTCAAAACGTTTTGATCTCTTAAGCAGTTTTTTCTAAAGTGGCTAAGTGCATTGTATGAAGCAAAGAAACAATGAGTACCTGTTTGTTTTATGAAATGTTGGGTACTAGGCAAAACCAAAATATTGAAAGACAGAACCGTGATACCTAAACCAACCTTTGTTTTTTTTCCCTTTCATCTTTGAGGGCACTATTTTTCTTGGCCTGAAAAATGGAGTTTTGGTTTCAGGGTGGCTTCCTTACTAGTGCTTTCTTCCTCTATGGCTTTCTTTAAATATGTCTCTTCTCCTATATGGTTTGCAGAGAATATCTTAATGTTTTTGCTTGTTTGTTTGTTTTGCCTGTTATTTTATAGCTATAGCTAAAATGTAATTTCTTCCATGTCCCTTTGCAGCTAGTCTAGTTGTGCAAACTTATAGTCTCCAGGCACATAAGTTTTCTATTTTCTTTTTGTCATCACCCTCTATATATAAAAACACACTGACATCTGTATATGGCTCAGAAAGGATTTTACAAGTGTCATGAAGTGTGGCAGTTGTCCTCTCTGTAGGGATCTACACTTGTGTGAAGTGAATTCAAGATGCTGAAAGAAGATTATTAATGGCTTAAGTGGCAAAGGTACCCTAAAATGGGGCAGAACTTGGGGGTGCAAACAGGGAGAAGCATCGAAGGAAAGTTACCTTCTTAATAACTTAGGCTTCTTATTAGCCTCTCCCCTTGTGTGTTAACAACACACGCTGGTGCTTCAGTTTAAGAGAGTGAAATGTGGCCTTTAGGTTTAGTAAACTTCCTGATCTCTCCTTACTTCAGGAAGAGAAATTTGAATTGCATTGTTCAATGTATTTGCTTTTTGCATTGCAGGTCTGTGCTGTTGCAGCCATCGTTCTTTTGCTCCTTTTTACTGTATTAAAAACAGGCTGCTGACTACATCTGAATCAGTTGGTGTCGAATGTCAGATAAGGCATTTTACATGTATGTGTATGCATGCACACACATTTAATAGAGACCTGCTGGAAGATTTAGACTGTACTTCAGATGTCTCTCCTGGTGTGTTTTCAGGGTCTCACTAGGTAGTCAGTGTCCCATTAACTGGCAGACACTGGCTGTTGTGCAAGTGCATTTCTATGCTTCTGTGACTTCATCTTTTATGTCAAATGTTAGGTCTGAACAGAGTGAGCTGGCTGGTTTTATTATGTATTAGGCAATATTTTTCCACTCTGAGTGCTGTATAAGTTTTGAGGAAAAGCTTGTAAATGTGTCCATATTTTTGGACACATTTTTATAGGTGAAAGCTAGTACATAACTTGTTTAGTCTTTTGGGACTTCTGAACTACACAGATGAAAGAAAGTGATAGTTGAGTGTTTAGAAAGACCATTAAGCTTATGAAAACAGTAGGTGTTATCATTGTAACTTGAATAACTAGCACTTAGACAAATATGCTTTTTACTTAAAATTCAGGATTTGTCAGTTTGGTTGAAAATGCTTTTGCATTAATAATTAATGCTTTTGCTGTATTCTCTAGGGTCTACCTCAGTGGTTCAGGTACAGCAAGGGATTCTTGCTAAGGTTTCTGGGCTGCTAAAGGTACCATATATAGGTAATATAATAGTTTTTCTGACATAAATAATTTGAAAAGTTTTTGGAAAATTTAAACCAGTGCAGTGTTATAACTGCTGTTATAATCAGTCAACATATTTCATAACTAGACTGCTATCATTTTGATCCACTATTAAGGGCTGTAATAGGTACTGGGACTGAAGGTTAACTATTTGTGTGCATGCACATCTGCTGTCTCCCACATGAATGCAGTTCTGACATGGAAAAGTTGTGTAGTTGTCATGTGGAGTGTGAAACCCATGATGGATGATGGTTGGGTTTGTTTTTTTTTCAGCTGAGCTTGCATAAATTCATGTCCATGGCCCAAACTCTCTTGACTAGTATTGGTAAAGTACACACATCAATCCACTGTCAATTCTTACTTGTTTTTGAAATACAGAAGTGTAGGTTATTTTTGCCCTACGTTTTCAAAACTGCCACTTCCTCACTGAGTTATGGTAGCTGAATCAGATGATGAAATTAGTTGTCATTGATTTGAACAGATTTTTTTTCATTTTATCCTTAGTAGTGAGCTAAACAAACCTGTTTTTTTTTTGGTGCCAAAGTGGAACAGAACCAGTCTTAGAATCAGGCACAGTATCTCACCAACTTGTGTTGTTTTAGGCTGCTACTTCTCTTTTCTAGTGCATGTGAAATTATGTCTGTATTTATTAGTTACATGATTACTTTCTTTGTTAGGTATCAATCAAAATGAACAAGAAACCCCACATCATCCTTACGAAAGAAGGAGGGCTCATTTTGAGACCTTTAGGGCGTGTTTTAAATTTAGTACAGGTTGCAATGATGTACTTGGGATGGAGGTTATGTTCTACAGGTAATTGGAGAGAGTCAGTCTAAAATAGCTGATTTATAAACAAGATGTGCAAGGAAATTTTTTCCAAGACAGGTCAGTGACATCCTTGCAAATGATGCACCATTTATAGAAGTCAGTTTAGGACTAACGGGGACTCTTAGCTTGTGCTTGATGCTGGAGAAATGCAATGATACTGATTCCAGGGCGGGTGCAAATCTGCAGCAGTAACACCTCTGTTTGAGATCTACAGTAATTCCTCTCCAAAAGTGAGACAGCAGTGTGAAGAGAGCTCTGGTATAGCATTTGAAGTGCGTGTATTTTTTATACCCTTTTTCTTCCTGCTACATTGTTTTAACTCTGTATAATGGAACTTTGTACCTTTTTAGTCTTACTCCTGTTTGGCCAAGCCTCTGAATATATTCTGTGGGATTTAGCACTTAGATCTTCAAAATAATGAGAAAAATTACTTCAGCAGCAGGATTCATAATGAAGAAAGAGTTTTCAGTGGAATTTTTTTGCCCAATATTATTATTTTATTTGGTGTTTATTAGACATGAACATTAATATCTCTTTACGGAGTAAACCAAACGTTAGATTTTGCTTGAAAATTGTTAGAAGAGAATTGTGAGGCTTTTTTCAATTAAAGTGTAAAAAACTTTTAGGATTATTATTATTATTGCTATCTGTTATTGTGACCCTGCTGTGCCAGAAAATCCTATAAAACCTGCTTCCTGGTGTATAATTGAACTGTGCTAGTTTCCAAGAGTTATCTTCATCTGGGATTTTATTTTTTTTTTTTTTCATTCATGAGTCTCTAGCCCTTTGGATCAATTTCACCTGTAGAATTTTGAAGCTTGTGCTATACTATATAGTGTGCATACACATTGTTTCAGTCACTTTTTGATTTATCTGAGTGACTTTTTATTGGGTAAGAGTTCCTGCATTATAAAAGGACGAGAGTGTAAATTTAGAAATTAGTCAATATTGCACACAAAAGAAACGTTATTGTACTAGATTAAATATTTGTGTAGTTGAAGCATTGTGATGTAATTTCGTGTGTTGATAATTAAAACTGAATTGATTTAATTGTCAGTAAAATTAAATTTGGTGTGGGATGGGTAGTCCTGATCATAGGGATTGTAGCTGGCATTCTTTTGGTTTATTTATTGGGTTACTTTTTTTTTGTTGGTTTGGTCTGGGTTTGTTGTTTCCTTTTCTTTTAGCAACCTCCATACATTGGTGTGCTATCTTTTGAACTCTGAAATTCTTGTATCTTCAGTAAGTTTTATTTTTGCTATTTCTTGATACTTTTTTCTTTGTTCACCTGATGAAGACTGGGTGTTTTTAATCCTGAGTATGCTTTTTTTTCCTCCAAATAAGGCAAATAGATTTCCATCAAACTTTAATCAAGAAAATACTTGTAAATCTGATGAATATCCTTGTTATTCTTGGTATGGTAAAATGGATGAAAACCCCTACATTTAATTGACTTTATTTCATAACATTGCCATGTGGTTGCTTTGATTTTTTTCTTTTTTTCTTCTTTCTGTTAGTGTCTGCATTCAGATGCAGTTATAGCATAGTCCCATTTGTGGGTTATGTTTGCTTGTCAATAACTGTAACAAATGTTGGGTACTTGGGCTTTTTGGGAGCTGGGGAGGTTGTTTGTTTTGGTTCTTTTTGAAGTTGTACAATTAGATTTCAGAAAAGGAAAGTTGTCTTTCAGTTGGCTACATTGCAGCCTTTAGTATTAAATTTTTTCTTTAGTGTTCCGTTTTTTTCTCAGTTAATGAATTTTGATATTTGTGGAATGAAAATTCAGACATTCCTACAATTAAAAACAGTGTTGCTTAGATTTCTCTTGTCCTGCGTAATTTTAATTTCATTTTGTTGAGTTCTGACTATGTATCCAGTTGAATTTTTCTCAAGTACTGTATATATTAAAGGTGTTTGTACAAGTTGCATACATTAAGATTTTCTTTAAGGAGAAAAATGTCTCTTAAGTAGTGAGGCGAGCAGAACATTTCTTGCCTTGTATAAGTATTGTATTTTGCAGTTCTGTGAGATGAGAAACTACGTATGAGAATTTTCATGTCTTCTAACAGGAGGGTGTAGAATCTTGATTGGTTAACTATAGAATTTTTTTTTAATGCATGGTCTTTCCTACTTCATAGATTTCTGTTTATTCTATTATCATGGTCATAAGAGTTGATTTAAAAAATGTAATTTGTCAAAAAGTAGATGTGCTGGGAAAACAGCTAGACTTCTTTTTACCTGGGTAAATCTTTACTTTTTTGAAACAGGAGATCAGCAAAATCTCGAAGCAGAAGTCCATATTCATCAAGGCACTCCAGGTCTCGTAGCAGACACAGATTGTCTAGATCCAGAAGTCGTCATTCAAGTATTTCTCCTAGTACATTGACTCTGAAGAGTAGCCTGGCTGCTGAGCTGAACAAAAACAAGAAAGCAAGAGCTGCTGAGGCAGCCAAAGCTAGTGCAAAAGCTTCCAATACTTCAACACCTACTAAGGGAAACACTGATGCTGCTGTAAGTGCACCTCAGGTGAACAATGTTAAAGACCTGAAGAAAATCAAAACGGAGCATACACCTTCTCCTACCAGTAGTGCAAATCTGAAAAACGACAAGGCAAAAACAAAGGTCTCACTTCCTGAAACAAAAGCAGAAAATAATTTAATTGCAGACAAAACTACCAAACAGAAGCCTGCAGCAGTAAAAGAGAATAAATTGACTGTTGTGAAGCAGCAACCGGTCCCCGTAAAAGAGAAAAGCAAACCAAGTACACCAAGTGTAGTAGCCAAGGAGAAGGATCGAATTGTTGCACTACCAACCTCCACACTACCACCCTTGCCTTTGCCTCCCACACTGCCTGAAGATAAAGAAACTGATAGGTGAGTTGTGACAGAGATCTGCTTTTGGGATTGTTTGTTCCTTTTTATAATGGTTGTTGTTGTTTCCTTTGGAAAATAAATATAAAACTATATGCCAGGTCAGGCTAATGCATTATTTAATTTGTTCTTGCTCTTCAGCTGTTTGACTGGTGACTGTTAATGAACTGGAGGAATTTGATCTTAAAAATAACTCTAGTTCTAGTTGAAAAAAGAAGAGCTTGGTCTAAGAAGAATCTTTCTATAAAAAGCCTTGAAAGAATTCAGTAACAATATGAGAAAATTATTTAGCTGGGGTTCGAAGAAAAGATTCTCTTCCCTTTGCAAAGCAATTGTTTTATAGTAGGGTGTTATTTTAGTGTAATTTATTTCAAACATCAGTATTACTTTGAGTATGTATAATGGAAATGAGGTTCTTGGCTTGCCATTTGTGCTAATTTTGAAGTGTAAAAATTGGTCTGTAGTGAAGAAATTAATTTCTGTGTCCAAGTGTCATATGAATTTAGACTATGATGTCTGTTTGTAGTCCTAACAGAGAATCTCTGCTGTGATTTGTGGTTTTGTGGGTTTCTTTGGGGTTGTTTTGTTTTGTTTTGCTGAAGGTGCGACATGCCTCTCACATGTATGCAAGAAATCACTTCACAAGTAAGATGGAAATTTCTAGCTAGAGGTGAAAATGTTTCTCTTGTGTTTGCTAGTAATTTAAGTTTGTATTAAACATTAAGGCTGCATAGAAGCCTTGGGAAATAAATGCAACCTAACATAGTATTAGATAATTATATATTATTTTTTAGTTGTAAGAAAGAAATAGTTTCTTGCCCTTCAGCATTAAACTCTAGCAAATGTAATAATGGTGTAGCACATGTATGATTACATTTACATTTGTGACAAAGCCATCCTCTCCAGGTAAATGAGAATCTTGATACTGTGAGCAAGATTTACTGTTTTATCTAAAAACTAGTCTGTATAGTTTAACTAAATATTGCTGGCATTGAAATATTAATTGCAACAACATGAAATGAGATTTCATTTGAAGCTGGATGATTGCTTCTGATATTATTATTATTGTTATATTTTAATGGATTATCTGTTTTAAGTTAGCTAGGCTGAGGAGTTAAGCTACAGTTGAGCAGTGGTTCTTTCATTCTCCTTTCAAAGTGGGCTCATTCTCCTTTCAAAACCAAAAGCTGCATTAGAAAGATTAACGAGAAGTAATTGAAAGTCTTTTATGCTTTGCTTAGTTTTGCCTATAGGATGTTATAAACTTTGGATCAGAAATTATAAGTAATGATAAAGTTTAAGTCATCAAAGGAAAAAGATCAATGTTTTTAATTGAACAGAGGCGGAGGAGGGCAAAGGTATTTACCTTGGGCTGTAGGTTACTGTGGGGAAATTGTGTCAACAAAGAAAGTTGGAGCTCGATGCTATGCAGAACTGTCTGGTTCCTTCAGTAAGAATTTCATAAACTCACAAATAAGCAACCTAAGGGAACATCAGTGTTGCTACCCTGCAGTGCAGGTTAGCTGAAAGGGAAAATTGCCCTGGTCATTAATGAAAAAGAAGCTGCTCTTGGCTGCCTCTATTTTCATGTGCTACTTTTAAAATCTGTGTCAGAACCTTTCATATGTTAGGCTTTCACTCCTATTGAAAATTCTGGGGAAAAATTATGAGAGAAATACTATTATATAAACTTCAAAATAAGAGTTTTTTATTGCCATGACAGTTACATGCACTGCACTAAGGTGGTTTATTCTTTATAGCATGTTAACCATTATATTTGTGATGAGGGCAGTCTATGCTTCCTTGTGATGCTTCTTTAAAATGGGGCAGTGGCAGTTTAGGAAGCGGTAAAAGGACATCAAAGGGTTCAGTTGTGACAGAGAATCATAGACATATGCAATACACTGGAATTCTCTATTTGAATATATAAGGACTACTTATTGCAAGAAAAGTAAGAAAAAAATGTATGCATTCTGTATTGTGTGGGTTGGCAATATGTTTCCATTTATAGAAGTTCCTGCTTTATCTACGAAACTAAGCAGGTAAGAAGTTGTTGAAAAACTGTCACAGAGAAGGATGAATAGTGCCATTTGGCAAATGCAGCTAACTTGGTAAATGTCCCCTCAAAGCGTGACTTAAGTTTTATTGATACCGTGATGGAAATTGAAAGAGTGAATACTGTGTGAGTGTCCCATAGGAGAGAAATAATTATGTAATTATAAAAAGTTTAGAGATGATCATGGCTTTAAAATTACTGGATATGCAGCAGCTGAACAAATCTAGCTAAACTAAAAGAAGTTGTGGTAAAATTGAGCCATGTACTTAAGAAAAAAAAATCCTGCAGCAGTAATGATTCCCCATTAGAATGGTAAGAGCATTTCTAAGATCACTGTGTAATTGTTAAAAGATGCTGTACATGTGTTTGGGGATTTTTCTCAAGACAGAGATGAACAGTATCTGTTACCTAATTATGATTGGTTAAAAATCAGTCATATATCAGTAACCCATGTCAGAAAATCATTGTCATTATTTTCATCTGGTATTTTTTTTCTCACTTGATATGCATGCTGATACTAGACATGTGTTGAATCTGGGGTGTTTCAGCAGATGCATGCAATTACAATTTGTAAGTGAGGTGATGTGGACAGGCTTGTAATGCCCGGCAGTGTTAATGTAAGCATGAAGCTCATTAGCTGTGATGACCAATTTTAGAGACAACTGGATTAGTCAGATCTTCTCTCTTATATGGGAAGTCAGAGTACAGATTTTACCACTGTACTTTTGATGTCCGGCAGCACCTGAGCTCTAAATATTTGTAATAGTCTAGGCCATAAGCTTGGAAAGAAGCTCATGTGGCAGAAGAGGTCTGGCCTGGTAAGGCTTATTGTGTCATCTTACCTCAGCTTTCACCAGGAAGGTCTGCTTTCACAGTTCTGTGGAATTGTGGTTGTTAACTGTGCATCTTCCAAAGAGCTATTTGAGTCATTTATCCAAGTCCTGCAAATTTTAAAAGCAGATTTCAAATGTTGGTGCATTCACAGTCTAGAATATATTATTTTTTGAAAAATAATTCTAATAAGTTTTGCCTTTATGCTAATATTCTACTATCTTCAACTTATTAGCAAAACAATGTTTTTTTTAATAGTTTGAGAGAAAATCTTTCAGTGAAGTCAGTTAAAGAAACAGAGAAGAAACTTCGCCATCTGCTTGCAGACTTGCCTCTTCCACCTGAGCTGCCTGGAGGAGCTGAGGTACCCAAAAGTCCTGAAGAAAAGAAACCAGCAGTTCAGTTACATAGCAAGAGAAGACCAAAGTATGTTTATTAAACTTTTTTTTAAAAGCTTATTAAGCAAGTAAAAATAATAATAGTTTCTTTAAAATTTGTTCTTGTCGAAAGAGTTCTGCTTTTTGACATTTTTAATATTAATGTGGCTTGACTCAAACTGCATGGTTTATTGCCACTTAATTAATAGTAATAAGACAGTTAACTAATAACGTCTCAATTAGTGTTGAGAATGTCTTCAAAGTTAAGACAATGTATAGACACACTAGCTGTATCCTTAAAAATATTTGTTGCTTTGTAGAATATGTGGACCACGACATGGTGAAACGAAAGAAAAAGAAATAGACTGGGGAAAGCGCTGTGTGGATAAATTTGATATAATCGGTATTATTGGTGAAGGCACTTATGGGCAAGTTTACAAAGCCAAAGATAAAGATACAGGTAAGTTCAAAAAAGATAAATGTAGTTTTACAATTTTAAGTGAATAGGATGGTTTTGGTTTTTGTTTTATATTGAGTAAAATTTGTGGTATTCTGTCCTCTTATGTTTTGAAGTTTTTTAGTTATTGGTGTGTTCAGTTTTAAGTTTAGCATTTGTCTAAATCAGAAATTATTGTTTGCTGCATTGGAAAATCATTTCTCTGCAAAGCTGTGGCTGAAATGTAGCTGAATAGTCCTAAATTCTGATTCTTAGTTTTTGAGTTTTGATGGTCTCGATAAAGTTGAACTAGTAAAGAAGAGAGGCTAAAGACAGGTTGGCAAACTGTAATGAAGTTTGTAAAGGGATGTAACTGTGAAAGAAGCTATGCATAAAATTGGGTCATGGTTGTTTGTACTCCAGTAGTCACTAGTTCATAGTAGGAAGAGAATCTGCTTCTGTGCAACACAGCCGTGAAGAGTTGCACAAGGGGTATTCTTGCAATATAACTGACTTTACAATAGTCACATTCTTTTTTAATTTCATATTAAAATATTGCTGAGATGAGTGAGCAGTCACCACTAGGATACATAATATTGTCACTACTTCTAAATAGATTATGCAAATTCCTTATATATGCTGTATGCTGTGTGATTGTTTTGTGATTAGTTAGTAGTTCTTTCCATGATTGCTTACCCTTCTGGCTTATTTGTGCATGCTTTCAATGCTGGACCATTTTCTACTTCAGCAGTAACTGGATCCCATTGGAGCGCATACCAGCCTCAGTTCCTTCTTTCTGATTGCCAGAAGAATAAGCAGTGTGATTATAATTCCTTCTTTATTCTTTACCTGTCCTTGTGTCAGTTCAGCTTTAGTTCTAACTGAACTGTCACAGATTTTTGCCTCTACCTTGAGAACTTTTGCAAATCATTGTTAGGATCTCCTGAGATACTCTTCCTTGCATATTTGCATTTTAGTCCTTTCATAACCATATTGCCTTTTTGGCAAACTTCAGGTTATTTGTGCGTCACAGTCATCTCTTAACCTCCCCTCCCATAGAAGTTGTCGCTTTCTGCATTGAAGGTGTCTGTACAGATACAGCAAGCAAATCTGTTAGCTTTGGATTCAAATCCTGTGTGGAGAGTGGCATTATGGCCTTTGAGATACCTTAGAAGAAGCTGTGTAATGGGCTTTCAGAGCAAGTGGATGTGGTGTCTTGCTGGAATATGATCTGTGAGTGTATCGTGTAACTTAGTGTAGGGTAAGTACTTTTTAGAACTAACACAGATACCTGGGCTGTCAGTAAGCTTCCCAGACACAGCAATAAATTTCAAGAACAAAACAATTGAACTAGCATGTATGGTCTGTAGACATACTCCATCATGAGTAGATCATGCTCCTGCCATTTTGTAGACTCCAGTTTGATCCACCCTGCAGTAAAATAGTTAGGGAAAATCTCCTCACTGTAAAAATGGTAGTGCCACTTGTGCTTGTAGAAAGTATACTGATGAATTTGAGGACTCTTTAGTCATCTGCCTCATACCTTGAGCTGCGTAGTATTTCTGGCTAGATACATGCATTCTGACCAGTGGTAATGCAGTATTAAGAAATCCACAGCAGTCACAGGCCTCTGTCTCTAAAGCTGCTGCTGATAATCGCTCTTTACTGGTTGACATGGTGTGGAATATTGGGATATGTGAGTGAGTAGTGCAGGAGGAAGGAGGATAGCCGTTATAGTGTGTGTAGCTGAAAATTCTCATTTGTAGTTTTGCTTCTGTATGTGATGCTGATTTCTGTTCAGCATAGTGTTTGATGCAAGCATCAGGGTTTTGAACAACAAACATACAAATCAATACTAAATCCCATGGTTTGGTTGCTAATCTTAATGGCTTTTATTTAAATTTTCTCTTAGGGGAAATGGTAGCACTGAAGAAAGTACGACTGGATAATGAAAAGGAAGGGTTTCCAATTACAGCTATTCGAGAGATTAAGATTCTTCGACAGCTTAATCATCAAAGCATTATCAACATGAAGGAAATAGTGACGGATAAAGAAGATGCTTTAGACTTCAAGAAGGACAAAGGTATGTATGCTAACAGGGCTTGCTCTTTCTGGACCTGTTCTTAATGTGATAGTCTGCTATGCTGGATTAAAAGTTATGATTCATTAAAAATATGTTTGCAAATTGTGATGCTTGATGAGGGATTTTAATTTTGATTTAAATACTATAAGAAGTTGCTTATTTATCTCAGCTATGCATTTTGCTTATAGAAACATTTTCTGCCAATATTTTGTGGGATAAAAAAATGTATTGCTTGATTGTGGTTTTGCTGTGAAGAACAGATGTTTGAGTCCTTGATACCCATGGATTAGGGAGGCCAGCAATAATAGGAAGCTCTTAATTGTGAGCTTTTCTTAACCTTTTATTTTTTTAGTACTTTCTTACACCATTTAGAGTATAGTAGGTTGAATGTTGAAGAGATGTTTTTAGTTTTAGGCCTCGGTTTTATATTCATTGTTATTCAGTTATTTTCTTGATGATTAGGCACATGTGTTTTGTGGGCTAGAAGAAGAGTAAATTAAAAGTATGAAAAGCAAGACTTGTACAGTGGTAGTGCTTTTCCCCAAAGAGAAGGCATGCGGACTTATACTCTTGGTTCCTTCAGTTTTAAGTCTGTCTTGTTTGAATTGTTTCAACCTCCTTAGTCTAGAGATTCAAGCAAACAGAGTGAAAATCATGCAGTGTTATTGCTTGGTACCTCTGATACCAGAGTGATATTTTGCCCCTAGAGGCATTTCATTTTAGGTCTAAGTGTTACAAACCTATCATTTTGGACCTATTTTAGTGTCCTGTGGGCAATTTGTTATATAGTCTGGCTTAAAATGTTTGGAATGTGGTACCTGTTCTTCTTCCCTGCTCTCCCTCCCTGAGTCTCTATACAGCATGCCCAGCAGCAGTGCAGGTAGAAAATGCTGTGTGTACTGCATGGCCAGCTGAAACAATACCAGGTGATATGATCATTCAGAAGGTGGATATGAAGCAGGAATTCGTTTGGGTTTTTTTCCTAGCATCTTTGGAGAGTATAATACCTTGAAGTATGTACAGCACTGACATGCTTAAAAGTGGGAAGTATCTAGCAAGAGTTTCTCAAGAGTTGTGCAGGTTCAGCGGTCAGGCCCCACTCAAAATCCTGACAGTCTGCAACATCCAGTTTAGTCTTTGTATGAGAATCTTGCACTAAGTTTTAATTAGGTGTAACCTACTTGGGTAATGAGACCACACTGAGTATTGACTAAATACATAATGACTCATTAATGAATTTTCTTTCTTTCTGTTTAGTGTTGTGTTTAGAATTGAATAGTAAATTTCAATTTTTTTTTTGTCCAAGTCTGTGTTTGTGCTTTTGATATTACTTCTGATTTAATTTCTTGGTTTTTTTTTAACAGTATATTACAAGTACAAGTACATTTTCTGAAAATTTACAAGGGCAGGGGTTTCTCTGGAGAAGAATTCTGTTCTATTCTGCTAGAATAGAATTAATTTCTGATAGTTGACTAAGTTCTGATAGCTTCTTGAAAACATTAGCAGGACAATGAGACTGCTGTTAAAACTTCTCTGTGAAAATAAGGAAGTTGTGGGTTTTTTTCAGGCACTGTATTCCGTATTTCTCTAATGAGTAGTTCATTGTGAGATAGGGATTTATAGCTGAGTTGTGGCCAAATTGTAGTCTGTGCAAAGAATGAATGCAAGTGGGAGGAAGTTTGGTCATTTTCACAGTAAAGTGTTGCAAATACAAAAGTAGGTTGCTTAACAAGGAACCATTAGAAAAGTGGTAGTGATATCTTACAAGAGGCAGAGGTTAGAGTAAAAGCAGGGTGTTTTGCCTATATGATGAACATGCTTATGCTTAATGTATAATACGTGTTTACCATAGCTTTGAAATATGACTTGGAAAACCCTGCTGATACTGCGCTTAGAAGAGTAGGGAATAAGAACATTTTGCTATCACATGTTTTTCTAGTTGTTATGAGTGAGGTTAATTTTGTTTCTAAGGCTGTGTATCATATCCTGACATAGTACTCATCTGCTTTTTCACTTAAGGGAGTGTGGGGGTTTTTTTTGGTTGGATCTCAGTAGTTTAATATACAGTACATTCAGTTTTCTGACAATAATGTAAGTGTTGGGCCCACTTTACAGTACTTGATTTAAGGATACTAAGATAGTAACGTTGCACTGCAAGCCAGCAATAGCTTGGCTTGTGCAACTTTTTCCTGATATTTTGAGCTGCCTTACATGTTTTTAAAAGTGGCATACTCAAAAGTCTGGAAGAGAGAGGATTACTTGTTCCCCATATTAAAGCTTGTCTCAATATTTTCAACAAAGAAAATGGAAGAAATTATATCTGTGTTGTATCTTGGCCAGCTTGGACTATAAATTTAAAGACATGAACAGCTTTGATAGATAGTTTTGGGTTTATTCTTTCTCTACTAACTGTTCGCAAAAGAAGTGTAACACATTGGAGCAGTGTGTTACAAATTTTCTAAGTGCATTTCCCTCCATCAGTGGAAGTCAGCACCTTAGGCAGCATAATTGTTTGTATAAATTGGGTATATACAAAACAGAGTGGGTGATGCATGGGTCTGTCTGCTGAGGATCAGAAGTTGTTCACTTTGCAATCTTCATTATACGTGAGATGTGCTTGATGATGAAGTTGGAGAACGGCATTACTGATTACTGGTTAGTAATGTAACATCTTGATTCTCAGGCACAATCCTGATAGATAAAACATATGTTAGGTGTGGCCACAAGGTGTATTCATTTTATATGTTACTTGTGTAGGCTTTTCTCACCTACCTATCATTCAGAGGCAGATAGGTGAACACCCAAACTTAATGATGGGAGCTTGTGACTCTGAGGTTGTATTCAGTCTTTTGTGTGTTGAGCCACCTTATCAGTTATAAAATTAATTATTGAGAAAATGCTTTCTAAATTTGAGCTGTTGTCAGTTTTGGTATTTTTCCTTTGTGTGTGTATAATTTATATGACTTTGGTGTATGCCTTTTTACTTTGAGATGCTTCTTCAGTTCTCAGTTGCCTCTAACAGCTGGGAGATGTTTGCAAGTGCTCAACAGTCTAGCTATGGGATTGACATGATCTCTTTTTACTAAACAGATGGAAAATGCATGATTTAGTTTTTGTTGCTGTGAATGTAAACACAGTAAGTGTACAGCCTGACATACCTTCTTCCTTTTGACCTTTTGACTGGGATAGGTATTTTTGCTAATCTGAGGGAGGATGTAAAACTTTGCATGGAGACCAATAATAAAAGATCTGGTTAACATTGCAGCTTAAGGGTTTTTTTTCTGGTTTTTTTGTTTGTTTGTTTTGTTTTGTTTTTTTGGTTTTTTTTGTTTTTTGTGTGTGTGTGTGAATTGCCTGTTTGTGTGTGTGTTTCTATAATTTTAAGATCTAAGTTTACTTTAGATTAAATTTTGAATTGATTTGCAGTACAAATCAGCAAACTTTTTGGGCATAAAATTGGTATTTATATTGACAGTACTGTAGTACAGGAGGACACTGACTCTGCAGTATGTTGTAAAATGACTGACAGGTTACTTTCTCACAGCTGTCAAGTAGTACTTATTCTGAAATCTTGTGGTTTGGAAGGAGTCTGTGACATCAGTCATGTACTCAATGTTGCATGGTAGCTGGTTTTGTCTGTGTTTCCTAGGAAGTTGAGTAAAAGCAGAGGTGTGAATTTCAGAAACCTCTAATGCTCTACAGCTTGCCTTGCTGCTCCCAAAATAGCTGATAGAAACTTACCCTAAATAGTTTTCATGCTAGAGCTAAGTGATCAGGAATAGTGTGACTGCTTGAGTGGTGCTTCCTATTTGTGTGTGCTCTACTGGGCTTTGGTCTGGAATAAGCGCAGACCTAATTGTGTGACTTTTTAACTTGTTCCATTTCAAAGGGAGAAAAATTTCAAATTTTTAATGAAAGATTTTTTTTTTGGTCTGCTTTAAGTTTTTGGTTTTGGTTTAGTTGTTTGGGTTTTTTTCCTTACTTCCCTGTATTACGTGATAAAACAAGGAGAGTATTTACTCCCAGGGCTTCTGTATGTTCTTGGATACAAACTACAAATGTTTCAGAACATATGTGGAGTTCCTGCAAGAGGAAAATGCAGTTGAACTTGAAAGGGGAGAATAACACTGTCATTAAATAGAAACTTAATATTGTGTGAAAATGTAAAAAAGTAGTATAGCAGCAATGTTTTCTTAAGTCTTAAGGGATTAATTCAGCAGCTATGGCTATATTTGTTGTTCTGGCAATCAGAAAATAGATTAATAAAACCTAAGTCAAATAAAAAGACAATTGTCTCTTGAAGGAACTTTAAGGAATTTAAGTGTAAGGAACTTTAAGGAATTGGTAGGCAATTTCTTCTTTAGTTTTCAGATTGTGGTTGATAAAATCCTGCATAAAACTCTTGGAGTAGTATATCATGAGTACTGGAAGAGAAATGCTAAGGAAATAAAATAGTAAATGTAATCTTATTATATTTAATCAATCAACAGTAAGAATAATCTATGTATTGCATAGAAGAAGCTGGAAAAGGCTTTGTAGCAAAATTAAAACCTGCTGTAGTTTCATTTTGAAAACGGAGTACAGAACAAATGTTGAAAACATGTTTCACAACTCAGCATTGTACGTACTATGCATTGAACTAGGCAGGGATACTGGAGTTTCTTTAAAGCATTTCTGTATTTCAAGATACTATTGTAATGCATTTATACTAGAATTGAATTTAAATTTGCATGTAATAAGGCCTTTCTGGTCTCCTGGGTCCTCACATCTCTATCTAATCAGACATTTTGAGAAACACTGAACACCTTTCCTCTGAATTACATTTGGAAAAAGCTTGTTTAAAAGACATAATCTATGGGGGCTTTTGGATCATTCTCCCCTGCACCACCACCCTCCCCTCCCAGTCCGAAGTACTTGTATCTTTAAGAACAAACGGTGTCCTGTTTTGTTGGATCTGTGTGATTTGAAGACACTCCAAAGAAATCCAGAGCCTGCCTGTGTCACAAAAATGCAAAGCATGTTTTGTTAGCATATTTTGGCCTCTCAGAAAATCCACTGTTTTTTGCAGATCATTAGTGCCATGTTTTGTTGAGCTAGCTTTCTTGTATGCAAACCTTTGCTGCATTATACCTGAGCTTATTTTGTGTTAGGAAACTGCTTTTGTTAGATCTCCATGAACTGAAACACATGACCAAGAGGAGGAGATGTGTTAATCCTTTAATTAGTCTAAATTGATATCTCACTTGCTGAACCCCATCAGTCTTAACTGACAAAATGGTTAGAAAGGTGCATTTTTCCAAGGGCAATCAAAAGGAGTAAGGTGAGGATTATTTTCATCCATTTGTATCTCCTTTATTTATTGTGTACCTCCTTAATAGATTCAGCTGCTCTCTCTTATCCCATATTCAGAAATAGGGATGCTGACAGAGCTGCTGCTCTGTCAACATGTAGTAACATTAGGGTTTCTGATTATCTCAGTAGATGAACTTCATGGTGTTAGTGAAAGAAATGGGCCACCCAGGACACAACCCTTCTGCACTTCTGTTCGTGCTTTGTTGCAGAGTGTGGAAATGGACTAGGCTTTCTCCCACCCCACAGGTGGGAAGTGCAGGTCTTTAACCCAAGAGCAGTAAGATGAGGAGCTTTAAAGTCAAGTAAGTAATGCTGAGTTCACTTGAATTGCATGCACTTTACTGTGAGAGTGCCTTAGGTGTTCTTATGGCACTACTTCCCAGAATGAGAACTGGGCAAAGCTAGCATCAAGCAAAAACCATCATTTTAAAATGTAACCTCCAAGTTATAAAATGTTTTGCGCTCATAAAAGAAGTAACTATTGTTTTTTTCTGCTGTATTTTCCTTTTTTGAGAAATGGATATTTGTGTGGCATTTGTTTTGATAGAACTAAAGTATGCTGTGAACTTGAACTCAGACTAAGCTGTAGCAAGCAGACTTCTGCCTGTGCATAGTTCATTTGTGGTGTCTTCAATAACTATTCCTTCTTCCTAAATGACTAGCTGCTTTCCCTGTTATGGAGGATCAAATCCTCCCCCAGTGTGATGAAAAGCGATGAAAATTTGAAATTACCGGGTGGAATAATGTAAGGATTTTGTTGGCAGAAACTACAGATCTCTGTCAGAAAAGGGCACCATGTTTGTCTAGGAATAAATTAACAGGAGTTCCACTTCAGTTTGCTTGATAGCTTGAATAATACTGAAAATCAGGCTTGAATGGTAAGATTGCCAAGATTAATAGACTGATTTTCATATTTTCTCATACTAAATGAAGATTTTACCAATTTTTATTTTTAAAACAAATTTTAATAACATGTAGTTAGGAAATAGGCAAGAATGCACAAATGTAATGAATCTCTACATTTGCTCTTGATCTCATAAGGAAGGAATATGTAGCATTTATCTTGTTTTAGTGTATGTTTTCTTATAAGAATTGCAGAGAATGTAAATAATCAGGTGTCACCTTCCAGGTACTACTCTACTTTGTTTATGAATCTTCTCTATTGTCAACTGTCCTTCTTGCATGAGGGTACCAATTGTGATTGCTGGTTATAGTGCATAAATAGCAGTGAAAAAATCCTGGGAGTTAGTGACGGAGCAGGAAGTTGCTCAAGGCATGGATCCTGCTTTGCATATAAACAAGAGGTCTCTGTTCAGCTGGTCTCACTAAACAGTTCTGCAGTCAATCTTTCTCCTTGTCTTATACACACATGCAGCCAGCTGCCAGGGCAGAGTTAACTTTCCCTTGTACTCCAGAGCAAGAAGGTACCAAGATTCACTGGTGTTCATCCAGTTTTGTTGAGCCAACATCCTCTGAAGGGCACATCTAGGTTTTTCTTATACTGCAGTACTAATATCAGGTGTTTTGTTTTGAGGCATTTAAAAATATGTCATGGCTCATACTTCAGTCATCACTGAAGTAGATCTAACAGCAGATTGCCAGCTATCTATTTGAAAATACCAAGATTGGGAGCCTCTGTGCTTTTCCATATTAAACCGGTGAACTAGATTGGTGAACTCAGTTATGCAAATAGTAACACAGCAGACTTTCTATACTTTTATAGACTTTAATATTTCCCTTTCTCCTTGTGAAGTGAGTGGGATTGTGTTGCACCTGCTTGATTCACCTCCTGTTTCACCCCCTCTGCAGGCGTATTTTATAATGAGTATTTTTTTCTTCCTCTGTATAATATGCAACAGGACAAAAAGACCTAAGTCAAAAACAACGAGGTATGCAATGGCCTGTGCTTTAGCTGACATATGCTAATCATTGTTACAAGTTTAACCCTTAGCGTATGAGTAATCTTCTTCCTGAATAGCAGATGGACCTAGCATTCTTTTTTCCCTTTTCAGCTACTAAACAAGAAAAGGAGTCAGTTCATTAGAATGTGGCTGTGTATGTGTACTGCTTCTATCAAGCTGAGTTCTCATTATTGATCCAAGACTTTCACTAGTTTCTGAGTTTAAACTTTTTTAGGAACAAGAACGTGTAATGAGTTCTTGTTGGGTAGAAACTATTTGTAGTGGAAGATTTATTTAAGGAGGTTTTGGAAATGCAAGGTAGACAGACCCGCTTGAATCTGGTTTCTGCATTGCTTACTTCACTCTGCAGGGGCTGTACTGTTCTGCATGTCCCAGGGTGAAGAAGGGAAAGAATGAAGAACTAAAAGGTGGATTGTACTGGGAATGGTTGTATTGGAGATTGGTTATTGCTACTTCTGAGTCACTCAACACTTTTCCTCTTGAAGAGTGCTTATACATATCAAAGAGCCTTGGCTTTAATGGCTTTAGTGGTAGAATTATACAGGCCTATGTGAGATAAGACCAGATTCTCTTGTGCTGAATATATGCATGTGGCAACTTAAAATATGAAGTCTGTCTTTGCAGAGCTGCTGTAGGTTAGTTCTGCTTTCTCATTTTATCCTGTCTTATAGGTATTTCTAGTTTGAGAAGGGCCAGCTTATTTCTGACCCAGTTGCATGGAAATCTTTAAAAAATTTATTCACTGAGTCATGGCAGATGAACAATAATGCACAATAATGCTTGTACATATTTTGTTTCTAGATTTCCTCTCCAAACCTTCCATAGGTAATAATAACACAGTTAATTTTTCTTGAAATAAAATGGATGGAGATTGAGAGCTATAGGGAGAGCACGTGTTTATCTAGACTAAAGCACCATGTGGTAACATTATTTTTCTTTTCACAAATGTTTGACTAGTTTAACCATTTATATCGAACAGCAATTTATTAAAAGTTTTTAAAGTACTATATTTCATTGGACATGAGATACAGCTATAAATACTGCAGAAAATCTAAGTAGTTGTATGAAAAACGCTTCTGATTTCAAAAAGTAGGCAACAGCAATTATTTGGACTGCTGTTAAATCAGTTTTTCTGTCTGTTTCTCCTACCCTTTTCCTTTCTTTTTGTAGGTGCATTTTACCTGGTGTTTGAATATATGGACCATGACTTGATGGGATTGCTGGAATCTGGTTTGGTTCATTTTAATGAAAACCATATTAAATCTTTTATGAGACAGCTGATGGAGGGCTTGGCCTATTGCCACAAGAAGAACTTTTTGCACAGAGATATCAAATGTTCAAACATTCTACTAAATAATAGGTATGGATATTACTTAAAAGTATGTAACAAAAATTGTATGCTAACAACATCTTTAAATCGTTATTTCAGTCTTTGCAGTTCACCTGGTTGGAGTCATTAGCAAAACTTATTTTCCAAATTGCCTCGTTTCTTTAAAATCAGTTGCAAAATACTAATTCAGTAATGCTCCCGCTTAACTCGGGAACTTGCAGTTGTGCATTAAACTTAATCTGTGTTAAAAAAGATTCAATTTTAATCCTGCTAAGTCAGAGTATGGGGCAAAATTATCTGAGTTTAAATATGTTAAAACAGAATTGTAGGATGTAAGTGTTTGAAATGTATTCTTTCTGCCATCTCATTTCAAGATCGCAGAGTGGCTAGGCTGGTTCTTCATGACAGTGCTGAGGTCCTCGTTGTCATCAGTCAGGATAATGCTTTAAAAGAGTATTTGATTAGGCATATTCAAACATGCCTTAACTTGCAGTTATTGCTATCATCAAACAGGAAGAATAATTTGTTTCTTACTACTTTAATACATGGTAATTACAAATCATATTACTAAGTGTGGTGTTTTCAGTGTGCAGCAGCAGTTACAAATAAAAAGCTAGTGTGAGAATAATGGATGACTTCATTGCCAACTGTTGTGCATCATAGCCTGGAGTACTAAATCCAGGGAGCAACATAAGAGCAAGGTTTATAACAGCAAAAAAAGGTATAGTTAAGAAAAAAGAGTAGGTAGTCAGCTTCTGGGATTTGTTGTCACAGGAAGTTTTCTGGGTAGTGTCAGGAGTCTCCAAAAAAGATGAGATACATTCAAGGATAAGATCATTAACACAGGCTTATGGGGCTGGACAGGGATCCCTGTTTTAGCATCCTTAACACAATGATTGTGGGTAGTGATTAGATATGAGGAAGATGAGCCCCAAAGGGAATGAGTTCACATATTCTTCCTAAAAATCTACTGCTGCTGTTGGAGATGAAATACTGGGCAAATTTGATCAAGGGTCTATTTTGATAGGCCTAGTTTTCTCCCAGCTTTCTCCAAATTAAATTTGCTATTTCTTCCTCCCTTTTCTCTTAGAGTGAACTAACACTTGACTGCTTTCAAATCTGCATCCTACTGCAGCCTTGTCAGATTATGATACAGATTCTTAAACAGATGTACACGTTCCTCCCCATTACTCACTGTGCCCACACACTTAATCCTATTGTCTGATGATCTCCATTAGTGTTTCTGTGTGCATCTTTGGGAACTCAGAAGCTGAAAGTGGAGAAGAGTGCCTTATGGTAGAGGAGGAACTTGTTATTTTACTGTGTTCTTCAATCCAGGTTGTATTGTTAGGTTTTCCCCCCTTAGAACAGCGTCTGAGCATCCTTAAGTTTTTCCACCAGCAGCAGAAAAACATGGTAGTAGATCTGAATGATTTTTTAAGCCAGTGTTTCAAAAATCCTATTACTAGTTACAGCCTGAGTCCAAACATGTGGATTATGTATCTTTTACATAGGCAACTTCAACGAATTTTTGAGCAAATACAAATAATCTTCTACAAATACGTTCTCAGAAATAAGCATGTAAAAGGGGAACATTTCTTTGTTTATGGGTGTTTTCCAAGAAGTTAGAGTAAAGGTCTGAAGGTTTGAGGAGGAAAGTGGATGGAAACTATAACCTGTATATGGTATCATCACAAAATGGTCATGTATGTGCTGTTACCACAAAATTGTCATACCAGCAGCAAATCTTGCCATTATTTGATTAAATTGCATGTATTTGAAAGTGATGGCAGTTATTAAAGTTTATCAGTACAGAAAGGGAAAACCACATATAACAATCCAACATTCATTTAGAGAAGCTTGCAGATATCTTTCTGTTTAAATCATCCAAACGTTACAAGTAGTGGGAGTTTCTGGTCATAGAGCAGTGCCTTTTAGCTGTTGGAACTAGCAGGCAGGAGCTCTGTATCTTCTACTCTTCCCCTCATATGTGGAAAACCTCAGGAATGGGCTAGGGGTTATGTTATTCAGCAAGTTGGTTGCTGATAAAATATCTGGTCAGTCACCCTGATATAAAGGCTGTATTTAAAATGTTCAAGCACAGAACAGGGCTTTGATGGCTTCCTAGAAGGAAGTATGACCGCTGATAATTGTTTGTTGTACAAGTGCTCATGCTAGCAATAAGGCCTGAGAAAATAGCAGTTTCTTCCCTCAGTTTTTTTGTGCGGAGTTACTGACTGGAATATTTTATGGTATAGACATAAATTTTTACTATCATCCAATAATGTAAATGCCATTTGATAAGCATACTCAATTTTGTTCACTTGTCTTTGCTATTCAGTGAGTTAGCATACTGTTTACTGAAGAGATGCAGAGATAGCAGAGCATTGCCTCTTCATTAATGTGGTTTGGTGAAGATCACAGCTGTTTCAGTCTTAAACTTTACCTGATTTTGGGGGAAGAAAGCTTAACAGGATTAACCACTAAATAATTCTTTGCTTTTTCCACCAGAGGGCAGATAAAGCTCGCTGATTTTGGGCTTGCTCGGCTGTACAACTCAGAAGAAAGGTAAGATACAATTACACTGTGAAAAAGCATTCAGAAGTTTAATCTTTTTGCTTAACTATTGTGAGGGACAGAAGACTGTTTGGTTTAGAGGAAATGTTACTGTACTGTAATACAAGTAATTGCTTAGGAAAGTGAAAGAAATACATGTTGTCTTATACAGCATAAAACCACAAAAGTCTCTTTGTGCAGGTGTATTGCTTTTCCAGGTGTTCTGGATAAATAATGGTAGAGACTGGCCATATATTGATTGGAAATTAACTTACACTCCTAAGTTTCTGGTCCTGTAAACCTGAGGTATATTTCTTCTGTTAGTATACCAAAGATGTTATTTAGGGAAATGTTTTTTTTTTTTTTTTTTTTTTGGCTGGCACAAAGTATCATACAGCTCCTATTCAGTAAGCATTACTAAGCATTACTTTTGTGTAAGATTTGCCTTTACATTTCAAGAGGTTCGTTGTATTCTTTAGGCAGTCAGTGCTGTTGAATCTGCTGGAAACAGAGATACAAGTTTAAATAAAAGTTATTCTGAAACTTCTTGTGACTTGTGCTTCTGTTGTTCTTGGCTTCATTATGCTCATACTCCAGGAAACAGGTGCACAGTTTTTTATGATTAGGAACTTCAATATTTACTTTGTAATGTAGTATTTGTCATGTGGAACTGACTTTTCAAAATCCAGGCCGAGTGTTCACTACAGTAATATGTCCATGAGGTGGTTAGATACAGAGATGTTTGGATACCTGACCTTACTTTGATTTCTGCATGTCTAATTTAAGAAATAATATCCATAATGTTACCTTTATGGGTTTGTTTTCTACACAGCTCTTATGTTGTTGATAAATGTGTTAGCATTAGTTTCACTGAGCTTTTGTCTCAGAACTCTTATTTCAGAAAAATATGCTTAAGTACAGTTATGAAAACTGTTGAGTGTAATAGCAAAGTGAAATAATCTTAAGCATCTGCCAGCTAATTATTTTTTTTGTTTGGATGTACTTAATAATAAAAGGATGTTATCCTACCTTCTTGTTTTAACATGCATCAAACTGGCCTAATGGGTTTTTTTCCTCTGGTTTACTGTTTTGCTTGGGATTTTTTAATGTCTGTTTTTAAATAATTATAAATTTTCTTTGTGAAACTCACTGTTCATTAAGGATTAACGGTCCAGTGTCCTTATAATGCCAATAATCCATTTTACTGTACATGAAACAGCAACATTATTATGCCATTATGCATAAATGACACCAAGATTAAGATTTAATTAAGCTAGCTAATAGAATTGCCCATTGAACATAGGAGAATAATTAGAATCTCAGCAGATTTTTGGCAATTCTTTTGTCATTCGTTTTCCTTCTGACCTGCAGTAACAGATATAATAAATGTATATCACCAAGTGTATAATAGCTGCTGTTTTTTAATTCATGTACTTTGCATTTGGTTTACTGTTGTTTAGAGTTTAATACTGTTTGAAAGGGTACAGAACTTAGTAGGGGCATAATGGGGAGGAAATAAAAGTTTAAGTTCATTCCTATTTGGTTGTTGTAGTTGGGCTCCTTTAAATGTTATTCTGGTAGATTTAACATGTTTGGAGTAGGTGGTATGACAGATTGCATGACAAGACAAGTGTTCAAATAAAAACCACCATATACTAATACATATGAGCAATGTATCTGTAGAGATAGTCCATACCATGTAAACATTTCACAGGGAATGTTTGCTTCAGAGATAAATATGATAAATGATGGAATTGTTTCCAAAAACATGCTACCTTTTAAAAAGGAATTGGAGTGTGCCTTAATGAAAAAGGACTTGGATGATTTTACAAAAGTGATACCTGTACTACTGAGAATACTATAAGAGCTTGTTAGGTTTCATTCTGTGGTTGTTCATACTTATTGTTACTTTCTGTTTGGAGTTACCTCGTGTTGGTAACTGAAAAAAATGTTTCAGCTAGTGAAAAACTGAAGAAAACTGAAAGAATTCTGGAATCACTTTTAAAGCAACCTGGTTGAAACGAAACCAACATCAAACATCTTTTCTGCTTTCTATTTTGAACTGTTGATGCTGTAGTTCAGCCTGTGCACAAAAAAAAGAAATGTGTGTCTGCATTAGTAGAAATCTTTGCTTTAGTGGGAGGATGGAAAGGATTATTCACAGTGACCAAAATTTCTGGTTAGAGCTGTGGAGAATTAAAGATGTTGTGAAATATAGGAAGATACTAGAAGCATTCCAAGCTTTGGAATCAAAATTGGAATGATGCAGTTACAGAAAGAGGCTTTTATCTGTTTTGTTCATACTTAAAGAGAAAAGTGATTTTTTTCCTTCTTTTTAAAGTGCTTGTAGAGGTCCTATATTTAGTTTGGTAATAGCCAATAGGTGCATGAAAGTTACTGGTTTTATCTAAGTGAGTCCTGCTCCTGAAATGACTAGCAATGTAATAAATATACAGTATTACTTTCTGGATAATAATGGAGATACACTATTCACATAGCATCAACGTGGCTGTGGGATTATTATTATTTATATCTTCAATCTGACTGTTTGTAGCCTTCATCAGGTAGTTGTGTTTCTTTTGTGCAGTTACAGCTTTGCTGGACTAAAAAGAGAGTGGAAGGTTGTACTGTTCTTGAACAGCATCACAGAAGTAAAGTCCTTAAGGTATCATTTTTTTAGAAGTGTGATTGTACTACAATGATAGTTCTCTCTTTTTCCTCCTTCCAACAGCCGACCATATACCAACAAAGTTATTACATTATGGTATCGGCCTCCTGAACTTCTCCTTGGGGAAGAAAGATACACACCAGCTATTGATGTCTGGAGCTGTGGGTAAGAGTTTGGATAGAAGCCTAGCAAGGATAAAAACAAACAAGCCAGAAATAAATTTTAAAGCTTCTGTCATTCTGTCCTGAAAGCCGTAATGATGGAATTTTGCAAAACTGTTTTACAGCTGTATCCTGGGCGAACTTTTTACAAAAAAGCCAATATTTCAAGCAAATCAAGAACTTGCTCAACTGGAACTCATAAGGTAACTAGCAAGCACTGCTACATAGATGCTTCATAAACTGACAGGTTTCTTTTCTTAGTGTTCTGAAATAATGCACTGCAAATACTTGCAAGTTGTCAGTTACTGCCCCGAGTGAGATGTTAGAGGTTTTAAGGGGCATTTAACACAAGTGACATTGGCACAGACATGAAGGATTTTTTGTGAGTGTTCTGTATTCTTAGCAATGTACCATTGACCAGTAAGATGGGATTTTGTAGAGTAGCTGGAGTTGCCTATTACTGAAATTGTAAAGAGAGAGTAATCAAAATGCCTGTAATTTTTAAGATGATGTTGCAACTTGCTTGCAGCAGATCAGAATGAGGACATGGACAATAATAAGGACAAGTGGGATTTGGGAGGAACAGGTTTTTGGCATGCTGCTGGCCATGAGTTCTTGTTTCAAGCCTACCATGTACACACCTTAGCTTTATTACTTTTGTGGGAATATTTCTGTTCCTTTAAAAACTGCCAGTCATTTGGTGGACATAAAAATTCTGTTTCTTTCTTTGTTCTCAATAAATCATAGAATGATAAGTATTTAACATAGTGGAACCAGAACATCTTTTTCTTTCCCTTTGTTCAGCAAGCAAAATCTGCTCTTGACTCTGATATCATAATTGACATTATAAATGAAGAGAGGTGATCTTCCTAGAAATAAGGGGAAAAGGGGGTGAGTCCTACAGAACTTACAGAAAGTGAACAGTAAATGGTCAAATTAACTTACTAAAAAATATTACAAAGTTATATACTGACATGTTTTTCAAAACAGATTGAACAGTAGCATGCTTCTGTGTAATGTGTTATTAGCTGACCTGAATAAATTAAGGTTTTAGCTGGTGCAGAGCAGATCAGTGGTCAGTTTTGGCATAAGAAGAATTAAACTTATGAGTTTGGGAATTTTTGTTTTTTGAGCACTAGATGGCATTGAGGCACATGAGAATGAGTAATTCAAAGTTTTTTCTTTGTTTTACCTCTGGTACAAAACTAAAGCTTTGTGATGTCTTCCTGCTGGGAAGCTTCTATTTGTAGCTCATTTCTTGTCTTCACTGATGCTATGCATTTTTTGCTGTTTGAACATATCAGTTTTATGAACATCTCTGCTGTGATTGTGTTACAGCCAAAAATTCTACATTTATCTTTTCAAAATTTATCAAAGATAGAGGTGAAGTACATTCTGATAGTAGGAGATTCATTATTTTTATTCTCCCTCCTGAAAATTACATACACCAACCAGTGTAAAGTCAGATTGACTGGCATAGCACCTGGGGCATAAATCATTAGGTCTCTTACACTAACCATTTAAATCTTATGAAAAGGACGGCTGAACCAGGGAAAAGTATTTGCAAAATGTCCTTTTATGACTCTCTGCATGAGATTTTGAAACCTTGCATTTATGGAAACACCATATTAGTTCTTCTGCTCAGAAGTGTCGTGTTGATCAATTTGTACTTAGCTATTGGAAAAAAGTATGGGGATGGAATGTGGGGCATAAGAGTATTGGCAGCTCCATTTCTGGAGGTAGATGAGGCTTGAGGCATAAAACTCATAACTGAAGTAAAAAATACAGAAGTTTTCTCTGTATAGTGGTTTATGCCTTTAGGACTTACTTGATTATTTGGGTTTTTTTTCCTTATGTCTTCAGCATTAAATAAATTCTCAGTGAAAACTGCTTTTTCACCTATTTGGTATATCTTTCTTCTGTGGCATTGGGAGCTAAGGACATAAAAGTTACTCTAAATGTGGGCTATCCAGTTTTTCTAGTCAGATATCTGGAGAACTCTTCAGATGTAGTTGGTTACATTTTGGAAAACATTGGTGTAGAGGATATTTGGGCTGGACTGAGGCAGAAACAGTAAGTTTAGTCTGTGTGGGGTGATCACCATTTGTAGACAATTCACCATTATTTAATGGTGTTGGACATTTGACAGTGGAGAAATTTTAGCTAAAAATAACCTGAACATGAAAATTGAAAATTGTTCTTGTTTTCACTGTACTTGCAAGAACAAAAATTACAGCTGTGCTCACTTTTGGCTTTGGATCTCATACCTTTTTTTCCCTTTCTTTTTGGTACAGCCGAATTTGCGGAAGTCCTTGTCCAGCAGTGTGGCCTGATGTTATAAAATTAGCTTACTTCAACACAATGAAACCAAAGAAGCAGTATCGTCGAAAACTGAGGGAAGAGTTTGCTTTGTAAGGATGAAGAATTAGTTTAGTCAACTGTAATACCATTAAGTTTTCCCAGAGACTTTATGAACTTCAGTATTTTCCGGAGAACGAGCATAGATCAAGTGTAAAGAAAAATGGCTTTAGGTTCTTGTCCTTCCCATGATACCCACAGAGCTTGTATTAAACGTTATTTAATAGGAGCATCAAGAAGAGGAAAGAAGGCCCTAAAATTTCAACCACCTGTCAGCTTTCATCTAAGGAAATACTTGTTTGGTACACCTGCTTGTTGCCCTGTCCAGAAAACAGCTCAGAATACTTAATTGTTTTTTCTTGGTAAAACTGGCTACAGCTAAATATGTAGTCTGGTTAACGTTAGTCTTTTATGTCATAAACTCATTCAACACAGAGGAGTTACCTGAACCATGTGTTCTAAAGTACTACCATTGGACTAGTTTTGTGCATATATCACAAGTGAAAGGTATGGAAAACAGCTGTTAGCTTATTTTAAGGGGGTTGTTCCCCTCCTTCAGGTGCAGTGGGTTTCAAGAGAAATGCATCATCCTGTTCATACTAATGAGACTAATACCTTTGAAGCAATAGAATTATTGTCTGTGAATCAAGCAAAAGTCTGGTGGTAAATTTCAAAATTTAAAAATACAGTCTTAGCTTTAAAATGTGGGTGTATTTTTTTGTAAGTACAAGGTTTCAAGAGATGAAACAGCACAAGGCAAAGAAAACTTTGGTTATATAATAACACAGGTAGTAAAAGGTGAAGTGTATTTCTGCCTCTTGCTATCAAGCTCAGGTTGTGGGTGTGTTTTGTTAGTATTTAAGTTACCTGAGGACTTACTGGTCATCTTGAAAGGGATGTGTTACTAAAATTTTTCACAGATGTGTGTGATAAAAAATAAAGATGTGACGCTTTCCTTTGTTTTGCACTTTTGTAGCATCCCACCAGCTGCATTAGATTTATTCGATTATATGCTTGCCCTGGATCCCAGCAAGCGCTGCACAGCTGAACAAGCTCTTCAGTGTGAGTTTCTGCGAGATGTGGAACCATCTAAAATGCCTCCTCCAGAGTAAGTAATTTCCACTGGTATAATGGTACAGACCTCTAGGAAGTGTGAACATGCACCCGTTTCAATAAGTTCGTTGTGGTTCAGTAAACGAGATGGTGGCAGAAATGTACGTATACAGTTGTTGAAAGGTGATTCTGTCGTAAAATGCTTGTGTAGCTAAGTGACTCATACAATAGATAACAAAGTTGCTTTGTCATTCCTAGAACTAGTTATTGAGTTACTATCTTTAAAGAAAATACTCTTCTATGAATGTTTCTAATTTAAAAAGCGTAATTTCCCTGTTATCTCAGTTTATTAGTGTCTACTTTTTCCAGGGATTTTGAGATCCTCCATGAATCTGAATTGCTGTCTTTGATGATAGAATGACAGTGGGTATAGAGTTCTGCACAGGTATCTGAGAGTTAAAGTGAAATACAGTAAATTGTTTCGTGAACCAGATGAGAGCCTTGGTTTTACAGGCAGGAAAAGTGAAATTATGCAGGGTGGTTCCTTCAGTTTCTCTAGAGGAAGTTATTACAATGTTCTGTAGGATTTTTGCAGTGACTTTGCAGTCATTTAATCAGTACAAATCATAATGGAGCATGTCCTAAGGAAAACAATGAAAAGGAACTAGAGAATCTGCAGGTCTCATTCTTTCCTCAGTATAGCTGTCAGAACCTAGAATCCATGATACTGTTTGAGTAAACTGAGCCTTCAAGGCAGCCTGTGCTGATTTCTTTTTATCTAGGGATTTTTTTATCTAAGGATTTTATTCAAATTCTTTCTAGACTTACCTGTTACATACACAAAATTGTTGTACAGGATCACAGAATGGGTGAGGTGGGCAGGGACCACAGTGGGTCATCTGGTCCAGTCTCTGTGCTCAAGCAGGGTTATTCCAGAGCACATGGATTGTATCCAGATTGTGGTGTTTGTTGTTTTGCTCTCTGGGCAAACGTTACTAATGTTCTGAAACATGAGCCAAAGAGGTTTCATTGCCTGAATATGACTATATCACTGTGTGAAAATCAGAAATCAGCAATCTCAAGCTGTTTGCTGAAGTTTCAAAACCACCTTTACAGCATGTTGCTTATGGGCATTTTAAAGTAAATGAATGGGAAGATCATCTTTTCTTCCCATGCATCCATCTAGAATGGATGTGGTAATGCATCCATTCTAGAAGTTGATATATGGAAATTCAAAACAAACTAGTCACTGGTGTCCTTTTAAAAATTAGGAGGAACCACACTCATTTCTGGCACACCACCGTTCTCTTGAGAGACTGAAGTTCTGTTTTGGGAAGGAGCAGCTGTTCATCCAGACAAAGTGACATGCAGATTGAAGGACCATAGGATACTTCTCACAATGAGTTCTTACTTCCAGTTGTCTTTCAGAAAATACTTGGCAGGTGGAGGGAGAGAATAAAGGAAGCAGTTGTCATAATTGCCTTTCCAGTGTCTCTTGTCATTTGTCAGCTAATTTTTCCATGTTTCTGGGTGACAGAACTGCTAAGACAGTTAATATGTAATAGGAAAACATAAACCATTTTTACTGCCTGTCTCAGTATTTCTGTGGGTCTTTGTGTTCCTTAGGAAATCAGAATTGAGATGCCTGCAGGGAGCTATAATGGAAGGACAGAATTGGTGGCAGATAAGTTTCTTAGGAGAACTTTGCCTCTGCATTCACATGTTTTATATAGGATATCCCCTTGTTCTTCTTGGTATCCCAGCTTTCGTAGTGTCAAGTGATATTTATTTGTGCAACTTATTTCTGCAACTTTTTCCTTTTTTCTCCCTACTTCCCTGGTTGCCTGAGCTATACACTATAAATACTAGATCGCCATGTCTGTTACTGTAGACAAATATGTGACCTAATGACTCAGCAGTACTTTTATAAGCAGACAGAAGGACCCTGAAAAAAATGCTTTCATATTGATAACTTAGTTATTTGGTAGTATGCAAGTTGTATATTTCATAGCAACTGTGCAGCATTGATTTTGAAGTTTTGCATTACACAAATAATTAGGAAAATAATTCTCATTTTAAGATACTTTTTCCTCTTTTCTGCCAGAAGGGCATATGCTTCTGAAAGAGGCACTCAGTAAATAGTTTTCAGCCAGAAAAAGCAGGTCTGAGAATTTGCTGGCTTTTGAATGTTTCCTGATGTATTTCTGGGTTTCAGAAGTTACATTATGTATAATTAAAATGTTTTTACCAGTATGATTAAAAAAAATTAAAATAGGAAAAAAACCTGATTATCTTTAATCATTCTTTGCAGCCTTCCTTTGTGGCAGGATTGCCATGAGCTGTGGAGTAAGAAACGCAGAAGACAGAAGCAGATGGGCATGACTGATGACTCTACAGCAGCTAAAGTCCCTAGGAAGGATCTGTCTCTAGGCATGGATGAGAGCAGAACCAACACCCCACAAGGCATGCAAACTTCTTCCCAACTCAAAACTCAGGGCAGCTCTAGTGTAGCACTTGGTCAGTAATATTTTCAGTTCTTATAATTACCTACTACTTGGATTGCACCTCTAGAAATTTTAGATGTTATTTACAGAGTATTGGAGTCTCCTGGATTCTTGAGGGAGGAGCAGTATTGTAAGTTTAATCTTTGTTACAAAATATTTGCCTTTGCTTTTGGAAATGTAAGTGTTCCTTTCCAATTTTACCTAAGTTTTCAGCCTGGTCAGAGCAATAACTTGCTTGCTCTGTATTTTGAGGGGATTTTAGCTCTTGCTCATCTATGATTCTTTGGTAATTCCACAAGCCAGTGGCTGTTCAAAGTTTCTCACAATCTCCATAGATTGGATGAGCTTTATTTGTATTGATAAACTGATCAGAAGGCAGAGTTTAGAGCAATTGTCATTTCAAATGGAACAGATTCCATCTGCATGTTATGTTAGTCTTGAGCTTTCCAGGGTGTTGGAGCTAAATCAAGTTGCAAAAAAAAAAAAAACAAAAAAACAAAAAAAAACAACAAAAAAACCCCCACCAAAACCACGCCCCCAGAAGCTGGTATAACATGAAGTATCTACCTCTGTGAATTGCACTGCCAGTAATTCTGAAACTTTAACAAAGTATCTTGCTTGAGACAAGTTTTACAAATATAACAAAGTAGTAGTTTGTTATATTTGTAACGCTCATACGGAGAGCGTTGGAGAACTCAGCAGTTAAGTGATAGTTCTTAAAAATATGTAGAAATACGAAGAGTAACAAAACCAAATGGATACCTGTAAGTTAAATGTTAGACCGTTTTGATTGTGCAAAGTAAGCCTAAATCCTATGGCACTGATAGAGGAGTTCAGCTAACATACACAGTTTATGCATTCTTAGCAGCTGACAATTCTGTATACTAACCATCTTGAATTAACTCTTAATTTAACAGTAGAGCAGGGCTCCAAATATTCTGTGCAAAGATACATTGAAAGTAGTTATTTTGATCATATTTTATTGCAGTTTATTGCCTCTTGCTCCCTTCGTTTGGTTTCTCACTGTAAACCAGCTGCAAGATTCTGCTAATCCATATGTTTAGGCTAAACTTTTGGTAGCATTTTCAAGAATGACTTTCTGTAACTTTTTCTCCCATTAATGAAACTATATTAGAAGTTTAAAGAGTCCAAAGGATAGTTAATTTCTTTGTGCTTTTATGACATAACAGCTTGATGAGAGACTACTCTTCATTAATACTGACTATGCAAAAAAAACCAAAGCAAATAGACGAGGAATCATTCTAACCTATATTGCATTTTACCCATATGTACACAGAAAAATATGTCTAGATAGAAAAGAAGACAATTTAATTTTCAGTGGTGCATAGAGGCATTTCCTATATTAAACAAAACACTTCTGAAAGTCATGATGCACCTTAGATAATATTATTAATAAGACACATTATAGAACTCCATGACCAAATGCATACTTTAGCCAAAACGCTTGCATTTGTTTCTAAGCACCCCCAAAGGAGAGGTTAAAAAGACATTGCATCAATTGCTAATGTTCTGATTCACAAGTGGGACCCCTGGATATTGCATTTTGCAATTTAACAGGAGATGTTCAGACTCAATAATTTTGTTATGACAGATTTCCCAGAATACACTTTCCTGTCAGAATGAACTTAGAGCTAACCAAAGAGTATAGAATAGGTAGATTAGTTTCCCTGTTTGGCATTTTTCTGATGAATTTTCACTGAGGGTCTGAGAGAAGTTTTTAAATGTTGAGTATACTATCCTCAGATGTGACAAAATCTTCCATTAATCACAACATCTGAGTGAGAGTCAGCATAAGGCATAAGAAAATTGTGATTTATTTTTTTGTATTGCCAAATAGAAGAAAGATGATATTAATATAGATACAAAACAATTTTGAAGTCCGTGGATTCCTCTTAAGTCAGTTCCAAGTGCTTGGTGCACATCCACAAGTTCCAGTATCCTGGTGCACATCCACAAGTAGAGTTGTGGGTTGTGGGCTTTGCAGCATTTTCCAGCTGTGCTGTTCTTAAAACTTGCAAGGCATATACTTAATACTTTTGTGTCATGTATGGCTTCTAATTTGCCATGAATTAATATATTGCTAAGGTAGCACAATGGCAAGGATAGAAGAGGACTGAATGTGCTGACCTGGGTTAAGAAAAATTCAGAGCTCAGCCAGCCTGCTCACACACTCATTTTCTAATTTTTAACTGCTTTCTTCTCTAAATCATCTGCTCATAGGGCATGTTGCAATCCATGCTGTTTCACCACAATGGGTGTTTGAAGCTGAAAAACTTTGATATTCAAACTTCTTTATTTGTATTCCCCTGCATCATCGTAATCTGCTCTTACTTGTGGCAAACTCTATTTAATTGAATTAACTGTGTATTATTACATGTTTCTTGCTACTGAGTGATTGACTTCTTCTCCCTCAAAGTTAGCACTGCCTTTTTGCACTTATACTGTGAGCTCCTAGGCCATGTAGAGCCAGGTGGGCAGGTGTTAAAACCCAGATACTGAATTAGAATGGGCTGGAATATGACTGGAAATGAATTTTGCAGATGGCTACTTTTTAACAAAATGTTGTGATATGTCAAAGATAGGAAATTTTATGGGGATTGGAAGTCTAATAGCTGCCTAAAGCAGGTGGCCTTAATCCCCAACTTAGTTATATTGTGGAATATTGAGCTCTAGCTTGGTGTTTTTCCATCTGTTTAAGTGTGTGCGTGCACCTCATGGAAATCACTTTGGTTATGGTGAATCTTACTGTTCCATTTCCTATAGATACTCCCTAAAGACAGTTAATATGTAGAAGTATTCCATTTCTGTGTTGTCCAAACCCATGCTTTGCCAGTCATGTCAGCTATGCTAGATTAGTCTTCTTTTGAGTTTCTCAAATATGCCAGTTCTAAATAATACTTAAAAACACCTTTTTTGTCTTTAGCAAAAACAAGCACTGGACAGCAGTTAAACCAGAATGAAGTGGCAATCCTGCTAAACCTGCTACAGTCTAAAACAAGTGTTAGTTTGGCACAGTTTGCCCAAGTATTGAATATTAAGGTAAACCCGGAGACTCAACAGCAACTAAATAAAATAAATCTTCCTGCTGGAATTTTGTCAGCAGGTGAAAAACAGTCAGAACAGCAGCAGCAGCCGCCGCCACCTCCGCCACCACCTCCAGAGCAGGAGCCTCTAAAACAGCCGATGGTCACGCAGCCCCCTGTGCCACCTGCTCAGCTGGGTCAGCCTAAAGCGGAGACTGATGCTGCCCAGGCAGCTGTGCAGAGTGCATTTGCTGTTCTGTTGTCTCAGTTAATAAAGGCTCAGCAAACAAAACAAAAAGATTTTGTGTTGGAGGAGAAGGAAAATGGATCAGGAAATGAAATGTCATTACAACTCAGACAGCCTCCAGAGCCCGCCACTCCTGTGTCTGTCAGCCGGGAAGACGTGGAATCTCCGGCACCTGGCTACCCACATCTGATCAAGTCATTATATGTGTCTGCAGGTACTGAAGACCTTTATTGCTAACCAGCAAATACCTGGAGCACTGGAGATGTAATAGTTTGGGAGTAGAAAATTAACATGTTTGCCATATGAATCTGTGTGAGTATAGGAGATTAAATTGATTTGACATCTGGATCAGAGAATTTGTCTTTTAGTCTAACAGGTGCCATGCAGACAGAGCAAGCAATAGCTAACCTAAGAGGTACACAAGTATTAGTGATGAAACATTGATCATTATTGTAGGGGTTGGGGTTTTCTTAGTGGTGAGTGTGGTGGTGAAGACAGTCTTTTCTAGCAGATGCATAGATGTAATTTGCCAGTTTTGACTGTCTGTTTGGGTAAAACTTATTTTCATGAGACAGTATTTTATTTTGGGTTCTAATGCTGACTAGAGCAGTTCTTTAATGTCAAATTCAGTGGTTACCCTTAACTGTCACACACATGGCTAAAGGTTTCCATTGAGGTATAGTAGTGGCTTCTGTAGTCCTCTGACAGTTTAGAGCTCTGTTCATATTTTTGGCTTGCAAATTCAAGTTATTTTACATTGTTTTGTGGTGTTTGCAGCTGCTGAAAGAAATACTCTGAAGTGCTTTGGGGCTGTTCTTGGAGGATTTTGGGGGTTTTTTTGAGAGGTGTGCTTTTTTGTTTGTGTTTATTTAAGACCTTGAGTTTTGCTGTTCTTTGATAGGGTGGCCCTTTGTCCTGTGAGACTTCTATCCTTATCTGTGAATCTTGATCCTCCTTTGAATTTTCAGTGTTTGTGTTGTTTGCATTTTGTCCTGGTTGTTTGCTTTTGCTGTGGGTTTTTTTGAGGAACTTGTGCTGTTTTTCTTTAACTGACTGCTTGGTAATCTTTAAGGAGCAACCTGCATCATGCTCCTGAGCCAAATGAGCTGTTGCCAAATTTTGTCCAAAATAATCAATATAATTATTGACAAATTTAGCTAATAAATTCATTAGAATTGAAGTTAACAGACCTCTATGTTTTTCCAGGAAGGAGTCCTTTTCTTTCTGGTCCTATTATTTGTATACTTTTATTCCAGAGCTTTCTTTTTCATCTTCTTAGGTCAAGAGGATTTGGTTAGGCAATCTGAGATGAGGCTTCGGAACCGAACACCTGAGCAGGAGCGCCCTCGGATCTTGCCTCCAGACCAGCGTCCTCCCGAGCCACCGGAGCCTCCACCGCTCACTGATGAAGACCTTGATTATCGGACAGAGAATCAGCAGTTGCCTATAAGTAACTCTTCAGGAACAGATCCTCATGCGGGAGTGAAAGCAGCTCTTCTGCAGCTGCTGGCTCAGCATCAAGCTCAGGCGACAACGGAGGAGCCAGTACAAACGAGTGTGGATTATCAGGCTAGAGACTCCTATGTAACAGGCCCAGACTACAAGGATAACTTTGGATCATCGTCCTTCTCATCTGCCTGTTACAGCACTAGCGATGGAATAGGAAGTGGACCATCAGGAGTATTAGAAAGGAGGAGTTTCCTTGGAAACTCTGATATTCAGTCTTTGGATAACTACAGTACTGCTTCATCTCACTCTGGTGCTGCCCCTCCTCCATCAGCCTTTCCAGAATCCTTTCCCAGCTCAGTAACTGGTTACAGAGACATTTACCTCAATGCTGGCCCCATGCTGTTCAGTGGAGATAAAGACCATAGGTTTGAATACAGCCACGGCCCAATCCCGGTTTTGGGGAGCAGCAGTGATGCTTCCACAGGGCCAGAGAGTGCACACTCTTTGTCCACAAAGATGCACAACTATAGCTATGGAAGTAATTTACAGGAGAATCCCACTGGCATCAGCCACATGCATGGACAGACTTGGACTTCTCCTGCCCAAGGACCTGGCTATTCCCAAGGATTCAGGGGACACATTAGCACATCTGCAGTGAGAGGGCGAGGCAGAGGATTACCATATTGAGTATCTGTTTTTCCTCAGGCACATCATTTTTATCTGGAAAAACTTCTTTTTTCCCCTAGCTGCAATTTAAAGCAGCAATTCAACAGACTTGAATAATGTTAATTCAACAGCTTTATTTTTATGTGGAAAAGGGTCTTGCATACAGTAGAAAAAGTTAAAAAATGCTTACAACTCATGCTGTCTAAAAACTAGATGACTTGATTGTACATGTTCACAAACTCTAGTTCTGACTTTTATTTTGTATTTTGGCAGTTTTAAGTGGATGCTAAATTTAGGGACATCAGCTTTTTATGGCACTCTTTCAGATCTTCTGAACTATGCACATTTGTGCTTTTTTTGTAAGTTTGGACCAACTTTTATGTAAAAAGAATGAAATTTTACAACAATCAAAGCAGGGCACTGATTTATTTGGTATTTTTCTTTTTACAGAACTACTTTTAGTCAAAGGTCACTGTCAGTCTTTGCACTGCTTTCAGTGTTATTGTGGAAGGTGTACTTCGTGCTCATTTCAGATAATAAAACACAACCTTTCTCTTGATGCAAAATTTTATAAATATTTGGTCAACTTTTTTTTTTTCCAAAAAAAAGAAAAGGGTGTTCTGGTAAAATGTTCTCTCCATCTCCCACGCTTGTTTATATAAAAACTGTTTTACTTGAATGGTAAGTGCCTTAACATGTAAGCTTAAGGTCTGCAAAAATTTGGAAGTACTTCATAGGTTGCTATGAACATAATGCCTAAACCTAGGTAATTAAAAAGAGAATTCAGATAATAAGAAGAAACTCAAGCAGGTCAGAATCTTGTGGTGTTTATTTCACATGGGCCAGTTACTTAGAGACCTGATTTTACCTAGATAAAATTGTAATTTCCAAATTGAACTTCATGAGAAACGTTGAAAGTGAGGAGAAGAATGAAGAGTGTAGTTTTTCCTCAGCTCCCTGTTGGAGTTGTATTAAGTGTTTTAGTTCCTCTGCCAAATGAACTATACTTTATATGTCCTTACCAAGTGATGAAATAGTTTTTTTCTCTTAAATGTCAACAGCAGTAATTTCTTTACTTTGTGTGAAAAGCTGACACTGTTTGTCTTTTTACCCCAAGTACTGCATTGTAGGAAGTAACCAAAGGAAAAATGACCAGTATTTAAAGCAATGGCAAAATGTCTGACACTAGTTGTAATTCGCTGTAAACTTGTGATTGTGCCAATTAATTGATTTTATATCTGCTATCCACAGAACATTTTAATATTGGAATTGAGTGTCTCGGAACAACTAGGATTATTATAGTTAAAACTCTTACCAAGAGCCACTCCTCATACTAATTATAACTTCCAGCATGTTTTTTTTTGTTGTTTCCTCTGACAACAAGTAGTCTCTCCTGCAGAGAGGAGGTATGGTTATGTTTTGCCTGTACGTAAAAGGATGTCTTGAAGCCCATATTGGAAACAATTTTCCAACTGATTATCCAGTTGACAAATCGGTACTTTATGTAACTGAGTGTTTAAAAACTACTTTTTAAAAAGTAAAATTTCTACTTACACTATTACAAATGTCTTGTCAATGACTTTTTGGATTTTAAGGATCAAAGCCAAAGCTGTTGGTGTTTAGTTTTAATTGAAAATCCTGACTCATATATGGCTAATTCCCACACTGTAGAGCATGGAGAAACTCCCTTCACTAACTCTGTATAGTGTTTGAGGATCTGCCAGATGAGGAATGGAGAGAGTCCTGCTGCTTACACTGTCCCCTAGTCTGGCAGTTGCATTCACTAGACACAGTAGAAAATCCTGCCATCTGAAATAAAAGTGGCCTGGATCAATTTTAAAGTGGCCAGGTCAGAAACAAATACTTACAACCTGAATAGCCTGTGCTTAAGAAAGGCAAAAGCGTAATGTTATTGACAGTGCACTGGACCATGTTTTTTCCTTGAGTAAGGACATCCCCATAGCATTTTTCTGCTAGTAAAATTTTAAAGACAAAAACCATTAGTGTCATTAGATAGGGACAGTGTTGGCTAAGGCTCTTTGTTTACTAATCTTTAAGAAACCCAGACTCACAAATATATACACAGATTGCTTTTTTTGGTTTGGTTTTTTTTGGGTTTTTTTTTGGTTTTTTTGTTTGTTTGTTTGTTTGTTTTTTGTTTTGTTTTTTTTTTATTTTTTTTTCCTAGAATCAAGCTTTCAAAGCTTAATGCACTTAGTTTCGCTAAAGATGTGCAGTCTGAGGTTACCCACCTACACTTGAAGTGTAACTGCAGGCAGTAGTTGGCTGAAAACACAGGTAAGTTCAAATGGAAAGTAGATCTCAGAGAACTAAATTAATTTACTTTCAATACAAAAATGCAAGGAAGAAGTGTCTCCTACCTTCCCTTTTGGACATAAATTTTCAAGTCATTTAGTTAGCTTCATTCAGTGTAGAGAAGTAGGTCCCCTCTGCATCTGTAAATGTGTGCAGTTTGCTTATGGGCTGGCAGTACTTTCAGACATTGTTCTACCAGAATGGATTTCAGTCTTTGGCTACAAAAAAACCCCAACAGCCCCAGCACAAGTAATCCTGACTCTGAGGAGAGAAGAGGTGCAAAAAGCAATTGACTTCCAGATGAATCAGAAACAAAACTCTGGCATGCTGTAAGCAGATAAATACTGTACAATGACATTTCCCCAGCTTCAGGATTTTTAACTTGTGACTTTGAACGCTGTATTTGCCTGGGACAACAGTGTTGGGATAATTTGGAAAGAAAGTTAATATATTTCTATTTGTGATAACTCTAAAAAGATTGCCTTCTCTGCAATCCAGGGAATCTTAATCTTCTTGGCTCTTCTTCTCTTTCTCCTGGGCTGGTGCAGGTGTGGAGCTCTGCCCTTGAGGGTGTGGCAGGAGGATTGGTGCCTGCAGCCACACTCCCCTGGCCTGGAATTGTGTCTGGGCAGGTTAGCAGCTAGGGAACTGCCCAGATCTAAGGACAGTAGGCCCACATTCATTTGTACCGGACCTGTGTATTACCTGTCAACATTTCTTTTGAATTAAATCACATGGTGAGGTGCTTATGGCAGCATTTTACCCTTGTACGTGAACTCCACTCAGCAGAGTCTGTACTAGTTGGGCATTTTTACATCATGTGGCTCTTGCATTTTTGATGCAGTAGCAGACATTCTGAAAACAGCGTTATTTTTCTGTGGAGCCATAGCTTTCATTACTTTCTCCCTCATTCCTTTGGGTTTATGTTTTCTGTGCTGCAATTCCAAAGTGAGCTATAGAGACCTGGATACCACATCGAAAAGTAAGTGTTGTGTGTTTGTATTTCTAAACAAACGTAGTGAAATACTGTAATAATGGACTATCAAATAGCAAGTACTTCATTATTTATATTAAGTCATCTTTAGCCATACCAAGAGGAAGAAAGTGAGCATGACTGAACTGCTAATGACCGTGACTTACAACACTTAAGACTATTATTATGCTTAAATTCAGCCAAAGGAAAAGGAAACCACTTTTATGGATCTCTAGTCATCATTATCCTGAACAGAATGAGCAGTGCTAGGGAAGAGATAGAAAAATACATGTCTCCTTAAATGCTATTTTAATTTCTTGGAAAAATAATTTTAAAATGGCAAACTTCGATATTTTCTTATGTTTCCATAAAATGTAGTCTCTCTTAAATTTTCTCCATCCCAAAGTAGTGTCAGGTGCTTTCTAGAAGCAGAGGCACTAAGTGCCACATTTTAAGTTCTTACGGTTTTGAGTGCTCTTCTTTTGCTTTCAGTTTTGGTGGAGGCAGTTTCAGTTTTGGTGAGGTTTACAGTTGGATGAGTTAAGTAGATAATTGTGTGGTAAAAACTGAAGTACTGAAGTAACACAGGATACCTCTTGTCTGCAGGCAAATTAGGTCTTGGACCATGAATTCTGTTTCCAAGAGAGAAAAATGTCAGACGTACTACTTGCATTCTTCTTTTCATCAATAAAACATGCAAGTGTTTTACATACAACATTTCTCCAGTCTGTTCTGTTATAGTGTTTTTTAGATGAGGAAATTTGGGCTATTACCCTTCTTGAGAGTTTTGGGATGTTCTGTATTTGCAGAGTGTGTCATGAAAATAAGGAATCACCAGAAAATTTATTTGAATTCTATATTTAAAAATAAAATTACCTTGGGTTGACTTAAAATCAAATTACCTTGCTTATCAGGGTGAAGAAACTTTATTGCAGGAGTTATTTCGAGACAACTTAATTTAAAATAAATTGTTATGCTTCAGCTTGCTTACTCTTTGTTATTTTAAGCCATTTGTATATAAAATGTATTGTGCGGCCTGTAAATAAAATACATGAAAATTGAAGTCTTTCCTTGTTTTCCCTCTCTGGTTGTCAAATGGCATTTCAAAAGAACAGTGGGTTAAACTGAGAATGTTTTCAGTGTATTGAAATTCTGCAATTTACTGCTGCAGTCCTGTTTCGAAGGAGCCCTGCAGGGACTGGCACTGTGAGCCTTTTCTGGCAGCGTGGATGCTGTGGGAGCAAAGGTGCAGCAGAGCAGCCTTTCAAGCACTGATGGTGGCCCAAGAGCAGGCAGAGTGCTGGGATGTGGCTGTGGGACAGGGGCTTTGCCAGCGCTGAGAAGCTGCTGCTTCAGCACCTGTCAGCTGCTCAGGATGGTGGGCAATGGACAACCTGACATTCTTTCTTTGCAGTGTCCAAGCAGACTGCAGAGGTGCAGTTATTATTCTACACTGCTCTCTTTAAAAAGGATGCTGTGCGTGTTAGAAGCAATGGGACACCAAACCTAAAGAGCCAGGTGTTTTCAGTGGCGAGTGAGACACTGTGAACTGAGTCTGGCCTAAGCAACTGTGCTTTGAATGCCTGAGGCTTTTCTTGGGTTTTTCCTACTGTATTAGTTACCTAGTGAAACCTTTTGAATCTTTCAATAAATGTTATACATCCATCCAAAAATATGGCACTTGCTGTTGTCTACAGTTCTCTTAAACTTGAGGCTGTGCAGTGCTGCTTCATCACTTGTCATTGGTGAAGTCAGTAGATGGGCAGTGAAAATGCAGTTGGAAGTTACAGGGGCCAGCAGCAGTTACATAGGTGTCATTTGACATTAGGCCGACAAGATGTGTAGCTGCAGCCCAAACACCTCACTCTGGAAACCGTATTTTGGTGACAGCTACGGTTAAAGCCTGACCTTCAGTTCTGGGACAAGCTCAGGCTGTATTTCACAGGGTGTTGACTCGCACATAGCAGATCTGGCAGTTGTGTGTAACCAGTTCTAGTTGTCTGCTCAGTTTTTCTCATGAAAGCTGTTATTGCAACTCATAACAAAGTTGTCACAAAGTTGGCTCTGGTTTTTGTTGGAGCATGAGCGTGAAATGGTTTGAGAATGGTGCGGCATCTCTGTCATTGAGCTCTTAATGCCATATGGGTAGCCAGCTGTGCAATAAGGGACCAGTAATAATTCCAGTGGGATCTGCATGTCTGTTGATATCCTCAGGTGCAAGTAAAATAGCACCAAGTGAAAGAGGAGATGCAGGCTGTTCTGTAGTTACTTGTGTATCAACACAGA